CAGAAGTACCATGGCCTGCTTTAACGACTCCCAGGCCAGGCCTGGGAGTCGTTAAAGCTACCCCCGATTTTCGTATTGCCACCCCTTTGTACCAAAATTACTCCAGCTACTGCGTCTTGGCGGTGGGCTCCTCCTCCTGCTACAGCCTCTGCTCGACGGTCACCTCCTGCTACTGCCTCTGCTTGGCGGCAGACTCCTCCTGCTACTGCCTCTGCTTGGCGGCGGGCCGCTCTTCCTCCTTGTCGACAGTCTTACGTGCTGCTTCGTGGCTTGTGCTTGAATGATGGCACAAGCTCTGACAGAAATGAAAGGCAGACAGAAATGGAGCACCATAATTTTGGTACAAAGGGGTGGCAATACGAAAATCGGGGGTAGCTTTAACGACTCCCCCATGGAATCTAAGTATCCGTAATACTATTTATCTCGAACTTCACAAATTTATTCTACGCATGAACGTATATCGCACGGTTTATCCGTGTTGATGGCAAGCAACTTGCGGATGGTTTGTGTTCAGCTTTGCGTCACGGACTGAGTAGCGTCGGTGGGTGCTGACGCGACAGTAGGAGCATCGGTCACGGCACCTTCAGGTACGACCACACCTGGAGTATACGATGTCCAGCCGGGCGGAATGGACGTCCAACCAGGCGGGATCGATGTCCAACCAGGGGGAATGGATGTCCAACCAGGCGGGATAGACGTCCAACCGGGGTAATGACTGCCGGTACTCGAGTCTGGTGCCGCTTTAGCTGGACTAGGCGGAAGTGTCGATGCCGGGGTGGAGATTGTGCTACTTGGCGCTGTCGCTGATGGGGCTGGAGTAGCAGGCGTATCTGTAATATCATTCTGGGTGGTGGGAGGCATCGTTGCGACCTCAGGTGCTGATGTCGTAGCAACTGGAGCCTTCGTGGCACTAGTGGAAGGAGCAGCAGTGACCGTCGGTGTAGCTGTCGTCGGTGTAGCTGCGGGAGGGGTAGTTGTAGTGACGGAAGGAACCGCAGTTGCGGTGCTCGGAGTCGCAGTAGTGACCGTAGGAGCCGCCGTGGTTGTACTCGGTGCCACCGTCACCACCTTCGTCGAGCTGCCACCTGAAGCGAACCCTCCACGAGATGCTGCGTTGTACAAAGCCCACGAACGGGTGAGACCGTCATCCATGGTTGCCGTTGCCAACTTCGTCAACGCATCAGCTTGGTTGATGACAGCCTGGTTCACAAGCAACAGCGATAACCACGCGTTGGTAGTGTCGCCGCCCGTGACGATCGCTTCTTTTGACAGAATATCATCCCATTCTTCCTTGACGAACGTCACCGTACGAGCCAAACCGTTGATAGGTGACACCGGGATCATTTGAATGCCGTGGATACAGTATTTCTCGGGGCCGAACCACGTTGCGTAGTCTGCCTTGTTGTCGAAGAAGATGCCCGTGACGTGGTTGGGCACGAATTGAGGTGGGTGGATCGTGTTGTCCGATGTCATAAGGAAGTAGGTCCGCACAGTTCGAGCGTTAAGGCGCAGCATGAGACTGCCCAGATCTTCTACAGCCTTGTTACCTGATACCTGACCCCATAGTTTCATGCCATAGAAGAAGTTCACGTCCTCCGACGTGCTCTCCTCGTCCTTACCATCAGCCATCGGGGTCACACCGTGCGAGTACGAATGACCCAAATACCACGAGAAATGGCGAAACTTAGGGAAATACTGGTCGTCTGAGCTCGGGTTGACAACGTCACGGAGCAGTGTCCATACCATTGTCTCTAATTGCGCCATACCCGGCCACGACGGATCCAGTTTCTTCAGAATGGCGGACGCCGTCACCCAGTAGCCATAATGATAGTGGTGGTCATTGTAAACTCCGTTGCCGAACTCCACATTGACGTCGTTGGCGGTGAAAATCTGGCTCGTCACGATACCTTTGTATGATGTTTCATACACCAGCGGCACGCTCATGGTGTTATTCACGAAAGGCCCGACTAGCGCCTCCAGTTTGGATAAACAAGTTCTCAACAATGTGGTATCATCGCCAACAACAGAGCTATCGGCAGCCATCAAGCACAGCGAGGCATATTTCTGGTACGCCTTGCCGTTGTAGTACCAGCTACCAGTGTCCAAGCTCCAGTCACTATTGATGTCGCTCTGTAGCGTGGGCAGAAGGTTAACCTGAGAAACCACATCGGCTGACGGTTTATTTGACGGATAGAAGTCCACTTCCTCATCCGCTTCATCCTCTGTCAACAACCAGCTCCCAGATGTCGTCACTTGAGCCACCATATCACCACGAGTGCTCGAGTGCAGTACGATGGCACCCTTGCTCTGAGTCGTTGTCGCCCCATTCATAACTTCCACTTGATGCGGTAGCGCGAAATGCAACAGGCCCGTACTATCACAACTACTGCCCTCAGTCTCCCAATCCAGCGAGTAACTTGTTCGGGACTGCACCGACACGTCGCCACCACGGACAACACACGACGCGTAGTCGTCATACACCCCCTCATCACCAGTCTCGGGTAGAACCGCCACCCGAACCGTCCCTGTGTAAACCGCATTGCTCACCAAAGCCGATCCCGTAATGTGGAACGAAGCGCTCGTGTCACTCGCAAATACCACCCACGTCTGCTGATTCGCAAGCTGCACCACGTACTTGCCTGGCGTCGAGCTATCTTTTAGCGTCATGGCGTATTCGGACTCGATACGGGGCGTCAAACCGGCGTAAGTTGCTGACACGAACGCCATACCGTGCACCAGCGCCGAGTCCATGCAGTCTGTGCTGCCAGACACACACGTCCGAACGGAAACACCCAGTTCACTGAATGAGTACACCTCGTAGTCCGGTTTCGTCGACCCAAATTCATTCGCCGACAGTGTCACGTCGTTGTGGAACTCGTGCAGGTAGTATCTGACGACGCCATTCTCCTCACCAGCCATTTGACGGTAAGTGTACGAGTAGCATGCTTGTATTCCGAACGGTGCTTCCTTGGGTAGCTTGAGCGCGTACGGGTTGGACCACGCGGGGTTTGCGACGGTGTCAATGTCTTCTGTGGTAGTATGGATGAGATTCCCCCACCATTTGTTGGTGGGTATCGGTTTGGTGAGAAGGTCGGAGTCAACGTTGATGATAGGAGCAAGCGCAGCGAGTCCGTCCTTGCGTTGGAAGAGCGCTTCGGACGGTGCATCGGTGGCGAATGGTGAAAAATAATCGCCCGTCGACGTTGACTCTTGTACCTGGTTTGCTGCATGCACCGTTCCTTCCTTGTAGTACCCGCTTGTTAGCGAGCCTCCGAATTCCGCGGAGACCTGTCTGACTAAGGTAGTTGCTACTGCCACTCGAAACCATGCTCCAGGCTTCATTGGTGTGCGCACAGCTTGTTTATTGTGCTTGACCGACATTATGCTGGTGCCAGTGCACGTTAGAGAGTGAAAGTGGGAATGCTGTTTCGGATTGGAATTTGTGCAAAAACCTGAGTGAAGTCGTGCGACCGGCGAACGCCACATTAACTCTGTCATTGTTCATCGTGATGGAACAGTGTGCAGTGGATGCTCCTGCCTTTCAACGAACTGGGTGGGCAGAACAAGCTCGACGGAGCGGAAACAAGCTTCAACTGACGGCGGAGACTTAGTTACTGACAGCTGTTGTGGACGCAGCCTGCAAGTCCTGATCGCAGTTCTCGGGATCCCGCTGCCTTCCATCTGGGTGGCTACAGGATCCTGCAATGCAGGCCCTGCAGTGTGCGGAATATTTAACGTCGCAATTTTTTACGCTTGGCTAACAAGTGAGAGCACCACACTCGCGTTTTTTAGGTTTCGCATCAGGTTGCCAGTGGCAACTTGCCACACAGTTCATCTTGACGAACAGCGAGAGCACGATAAGGAAGTAGTGTATGCAGACCGCGTAAGTCCCATCGCTTGCTTGTGTGTCGGAACGATAAGCTGCCATCACACAATTACCAGTATCCTACATATAATAGGCAGACCGTTTCTTTTTACTGCAGTATCGTCGTTTTGTCTTATCTTTGGGCTTGGCTCACATTTGGGATCGCAATACATGTACAACAACAACGCAGCACCCTAGCCTACACTCACAGAGCATCGGCATGCTGTGTGCTTGCGCAGAGCTAATAATATTAACGGGTAAGAAATACAGCAATATCAGTCGATATTATCGGATGCACCGCTCAAGTTGAGCGGCGCCAACAACTCCTCATTTGATACAGTACCAAATTTTTGTGGAGTCATCTGATCCGGGAAGCTTGAGGCAAAATCGACCAGTGCAATACAGCAGCTGTCCTGAACCGAATGTGAACGTCTTCACCGAGAATTTCTCCGAGAGAAAACAGGATGGCATCGGGGGCGCAAGGCTTCACCAAAATTGCAAACACATAACTTGCGTGCACCCTAAAAATCTACCCAAGCATTTAATTGCATGTTTAGGATAAGTGTACTGACGATCCCCTCGGTAGTAATCCCTAGACTTGGAATACACCCTCAACAGCAATATATCAGCGGTTCCCGTTGACCAGTTGCTTACAAACCCAAGATATTATTCCGTCTCACCCCTCCATTTGAAGTCAAATATTTCTATTCTGGGGTTCTTAACTATGGGAACAGTCATAACTGCACAAGAGCATTATTGCTACCACGTCCGATCCGAATATTGAACCGATGAAGCCTATCCTTTTGACCACTTTGGACGTGACTCGAGCTTTACGATCACGAAGAAGAGTTCTGTTAATTGCCTCATCCGTGGCAGTGACACCGCTCTCTTTACACAAGGAGACCCAACTGGCAAGGAACTTGTCGAGTTTAGGATGCACCGCGCGCCGCAATTTTGTGACCAACTGCGAGACCGGAGGTGACTCCAGCGCTTTCCAGCGCATTAATAGCTACCACGCCATTGCTTGTGATGAAACCAGAGGAAGATCGTAGATTATGAGCCCATGAACCTAGCTCTGTTTGGGACAAATTATTATAGGAATGTGAGCATGGTGCTACTGTAGCATGTACAGCAGTTGTTGAGTGTTGGTGAGTGTGAGGACGAACTGGCTGGGCTAGAGAGGAGGGTATCTTGATGTGGTGAGGCAAAAGTGGAAATAGGAGAGCAAAACAGGGTGAAACGCCAGTAACGAGCTACATCAATCGTCTCCATGAGTAAATGCTGTGCACTGTTCTGTAGTGGTGGCTAAGAGATCAAGCCTAGTCCATTCACCGGGCGATGTCGACAGATAAACATCGCCAAGCTGGCAAGGCTAGCAATAAAAGGACATAAGTTACAAAACCACCACGGCCAACAGAGCGGCCGCTGAGACCACTTACACATCTAGCCTGGGATCAATAGCAAAGTTTTGGTTTGCCTGGAAGCGCCAGCCTCCTTCGTAGCGTTCCGAGACCTACTACATCTTCCAAGCTAAAGATACTTGGATCCATTTTTGTGGTACTTCATGGGTAGGAATACCCTTATACAGGAATAAATTGGTGCTCCCGGCGCTATGACTGCTGAGGGGATTATATCTTCTCTGATTTAGGAACGAATCATGTCCTGGAATCAAAACTGCGATCCACTTCCACGGCAAGAATGCTCAAGCTATTGCTGGTGGCGTCTAGCATTATCTACACGTCAACTACCACCACCAACCATCACATAGAGCAGTCCGCTGGCGTTACCAGCGAAGCAGCGCAAGGTATACAAGCCACATACCTTGCTCCATTTGCCACCAATGCACCGTCCGAAGCGCTCTTCCAACGCAAGGACGGACTCGCTGCGCTTGCTCCTATCATCAACGTTGACTCCGACCTTCTCACCAAACCGATACCCACCAACAAATGGTGGGGGAATCTCATCCATACTACCACAGAAGACATTGACACCGTCGCAAACCCCGCGTGGTCCAACCCGTACGCGCTCAAGCTACCCAAGGAAGCACCGTTCGGAATACAAGCATGCTACTCGTACACTTACCGTCAAATGGCTGGTGAGGAGAATGGCGTCGTCAGATACTACCTGCACGAGTTCCACAACGACGTGACACTGTCGGCGAATGAATTTGGGTCGACGAAACCGGACTACGAGGTGTACTCATTCAGTGAACTGGGTGTTTCCGTTCGGACGTGTGTGTCTGGCAGCACAGACTGCATGGACTCGGCGCTGGTGCACGGTATGGCGTTCGTGTCAGCAACTTACGCCGGTTTGACGCCCCGTATCGAGTCCGAATACGCCATGACGCTAAAAGATAGCTCGACGCCAGGCAAGTACGTGGTGCAGCTTGCGAATCAGCAGACGTGGGTGGTATTTGCGAGTGACACGAGCGCTTCGTTCCACATTACGGGATCGGCTTTGGTGAGCAATGCGGTTTACACAGGGACGGTTCGGGTGGCGGTTCTACCCGAGACTGGTGATGAGGGGGTGTATGACGACTACGCGTCGTGTGTTGTCCGTGGTGGCGACGTGTCGGTGCAGTCCCGAACAAGTTACTCGCTGGATTGGGAGACTGAGGGCAGTAGTTGTGATAGTACGGGCCTGTTGCATTTCGCGCTACCGCATCAAGTGGAAGTTATGAATGGGGCGACAACGACTCAGAGCAAGGGTGCCATCGTACTGCACTCGAGCACTCGTGGTGATATGGTGGCTCAAGTGACGACATCTGGGAGCTGGTTGTTGACAGAGGATGAAGCGGATGAGGAAGTGGACTTCTATCCGTCAAATAAACCGTCAGCCGATGTGGTTTCTCAGGTTAACCTTCTGCCCACGCTACAGAGCGACATCAATAGTGACTGGAGCTTGGACACTGGTAGCTGGTACTACAACGGCAAGGCGTACCAGAAATATGCCTCGCTGTGCTTGATGGCTGCCGATAGCTCTGTTGTTGGCGATGATACCACATTGTTGAGAACTTGTTTATCCAAACTGGAGGCGCTAGTCGGGCCTTTCGTGAATAACACCATGAGCGTGCCGCTGGTGTATGAAACATCATACAAAGGTATCGTGACGAGCCAGATTTTCACCGCCAACGACGTCAATGTGGAGTTCGGCAACGGAGTTTACAATGACCACCACTATCATTATGGCTACTGGGTGACGGCGTCCGCCATTCTGAAGAAACTGGATCCGTCGTGGCCGGGTATGGCGCAATTAGAGACAATGGTATGGACACTGCTCCGTGACGTTGTCAACCCGAGCTCAGACGACCAGTATTTCCCTAAGTTTCGCCATTTCTCGTGGTATTTGGGTCATTCGTACTCGCACGGTGTGACCCCGATGGCTGATGGTAAGGACGAGGAGAGCACGTCGGAGGACGTGAACTTCTTCTATGGCATGAAACTATGGGGTCAGGTATCAGGTAACAAGGCTGTAGAAGATCTGGGCAGTCTCATGCTGCGCCTTAACGCTCGAACTGTGCGGACCTACTTCCTTATGACATCGGACAACACGATCCACCCACCTCAATTCGTGCCCAACCACGTCACGGGCATCTTCTTCGACAACAAGGCAGACTACGCAACGTGGTTCGGCCCCGAGAAATACTGTATCCACGGCATTCAAATGATCCCGGTGTCACCTATCAACGGTTTGGCTCGTACGGTGACGTTCGTCAAGGAAGAATGGGATGATATTCTGTCAAAAGAAGCGATCGTCACGGGCGGCGACACTACCAACGCGTGGTTATCGCTGTTGCTTGTGAACCAGGCTGTCATCAACCAAGCTGATGCGTTGACGAAGTTGGCAACGGCAACCATGGATGACGGTCTCACCCGTTCGTGGGCTTTGTACAACGCGGCATCTCCTCAACCCACAATGTACGTGGAAGCTGAAATAGGTGCAGGAGGCGAGATTAGCGTCACTCCGCGCTAGGACTTATCAATCAGGTCAACTTCAACGATAAGTTAGAAAAGTAGCTTTCTGAAAATAATAGAACTAGTTTCAGCCAATAAGATCTCTGACATGTCCAAAATCTCAAACTGCCAGAACTCCGAGCCAACGATGGGGAAGCGCGGGAGCAAGTCGCGCCGGTCTGGGTCTGCTGTGGACCAGTTGCAGGCTGCACTGACGCGCTCGTTGAAGGAGAGCGTAGCGGAGACAGTGAGCTCCGTCTGTGAGAGCTTTCAGCACGCGGTGGAGGCGCAGACGACGTCGACAGCGTCCACCGAAGAAAGTGGAGGATATGATCAGTACTACAACACATGCCGCCGCCTGGTGGACTACATCAAGCAGCACATGGAGGCGTCTCCGGGCTTTGAAGATCAGATGGATCGCATCATCCTGGCCTGCCACAGCGGCGCCACGGAGCGCGTGCTCAACTCTGTGGTGACCAAGGAGCTGTGGATTCGTCGACGCGGAGACGCCCCGCCTACGCAGCGCGAGACACGCAGCAGCAGCAGCAGCGGCCGCTCGATGCCTAAGAAGAAGGTGAAGAGGGCGGCTTCTATTGCCAGGATGTCTACCCGAGCGTCCACTGAATCTCCCGCCATGCACACAAGAAGTGCGTCGGGTAGTAAGAGGTCCACGAGAGGCAGTTCTCTCGATGCGCAACCAGTGAAGAGACCGCGCAGAGCAGCGAGAAAGGTGATTCAGGAAAGTTCGGATGAGGAAAAGGAAGAAGAAGAGGAAGAGGAGGAGCCAGTGGCGCGTAAGAGTAAGAAGCAGCAGCAAGAGGAGGAGGAAGATGATGACGCGCTGTTGTCATTCAAAGACGCTATTGGCGAGCTGTGCTATCCGGACCGACGCACTCCCTCTGAGACCAAATTCTTTAAGGAACGCCTGCGCAAGTCGATCCAGTTCGTGGATGCTCTTCTGTGTAATCCCCCGCCTGGCAAAGTGTGCGGACGTGGGTGCAAGAAGATCCGCGCGCAGATGTGTAGCAGCTCGACGCCCTGCAAGAACAAGATGTGTCGTATCTGGCACGACGTGGAGGCGCACACGGACCGCTGCCAGAACCAACAGTGCGAGTTTAAGAACCGGATTCTGCTTCGAGAGACGATGCACAAGTTGGAGATAAAGGAGCAGCAGATCGCGGAGACCAAGGCGAAGCTGGAACGCAAGCAAAACCAACTGAAACAAGCTGACGACGACGATAAAGAAGCCCTGGAGAACAATATTGCCAAATTGGAACAAAATCTTGAAGAGTGTGGCAGCGAGCTTGGAGTTCTGGAGGCGACCAAGAAAACTTTCTGGGTATCTTTGAATGAAATTGGGATCCAAGCGAGCGATGACGTTACCGATAACTTCCCTGACTTTGCAACGCACTATGAGGAGAAGAAGGCGCCGCGCAAGGCTCGAAAGGCCGTGTCCGTTGCCTCTACTCACCTTTCGTCCGCATCGAGTCGAAGCTCGCGTGCTGCTGCTCGACCAGGCAGTGTTGGCCCACATGGGGGCGATGATGAGGATGATGATGAAGCTGACGACGCTGATGAGAGTGTTAGTGATCACACAGCGCGCAGAAGCTCGTCAAGCGGACGTCGCAGCCCCGCACCACACCATGAGAGCGACGAGGAGACTAAGGGTGGTGTGGAAGAAACGAAGCACGATGACACCTATCTCCCTGCTCCGAGCGATTTCCCTCAACTAGATGAGCCGCCACTTCCGCCTGCTGGACCTCCTCCATTCCGACAAAACCCTGAATTGGACCGGGAGTATTCTGTGCATGCTTCAGGCTACTCTATTCACCCTCCGGCTGACGATCTCGAGGCTCCAGCAGTCGCTACGAGCATTGAAACAACGAAGGAAATTGAGCCTCCTAGTGAACATGGGCTTACTGAGGAGCAGCTGGCTGATATGCAGCGAGAGAGCGACGAGATTTCAGGCATCATAGCGGGCATGACAGCCAACCCTCCTCCATTGCCGCCTTCTGTGGAACTCATCAACACGACTGGGTTTACCATTCGCGGCAACCAGCCACAGAACCCGTAAGCGACCCGTCAAGAACTCCGTCTGTCGTCGCAGACTCATCACTAGGCTTACTGGTCCTGCATGAGGCAGCCACAAGCTCAGGTTTGCAAGCGTCCAAGTTTTGTTTTGCATTGCAAGAGAGCGGCAATGTCGTGGAAATGGGTGGAGAAGAAATCAACAGCTGAAGTATCGACAGCTCTCTCAGCAATGAATGATACTTTGTGTATCAAATTGATAACTCAGTGTGCGTGAGTGCCTCTGATAATCGGAATCCGATTTCCCATTTACTGACTGTTATGACGAGCGTTTTGGAGTTTTTTTGTAACGCAGTAGTCGACAAATTTGAGGGCTTATTATTAGAGATGTTGCTTCTCGTTTTTACTGTGACCAGGCATTTATCACAGGAAGAGGGGTGGAGTCTTGACAATGGCAGGGATCGAGAGGGATGGATCATCACATCGAGTTAACCTTGCGCGAATCGGTGAAGATGGCAATAAGCTGGATGCTGGAGCCTTAGGTTTCGAAGAAGATTATCCGTCAAAACTTATTGATCCGCTTGTAGGAATGCACAAAGATCTTGATGACGGAGTCTTATCGAAGGATCTACCTCTGCGGTTGCAGCTGGAAATGCTACGTGGGAAGCTCTCGCGACGCAACCAGGTACTGGAAGTTATCCGACGTGCGTACTACCGAGACGTGCTTGTTATCAAGGAAGAGCTGCGGCAAAATGGCGGAAAATTAAATCACGTGGGATCGTCAGCATCAATACCAAAGCTGCAGCGTCTACCGTCTAGTCAAGTGATAGCAGGAGCATCCGTGTCCATCGACGGCGGACTTTCTAGCGTTCCATCGGTGGATCTACGAGAGGTCCTGCCTCTGTTTGCACCCAGTGAAACCGTGTTGCAAATACATCCCTGTGAGACCTGCGGCGGCCACTTAGAGCTTGTTCATGGCGAGGTACGTGATCTGACAGAGCTTACTTATGGTTGATAATTATTAAGATTGATTTGTTTGAACAGAGCAAGGAGCTTAAAGCTGCTCGACAAGAAATGGCTCGAGCAGTGAAAGGAGAACAACAAATGCGGGCTGTGGTGCAGCGCTTGCGCTCGGAGGCGAAACAAATGGAGGAAGTTAACGATGCATTGCAACAGCGGGTGAAGGCGTTGATGAAGGAGAATGCATACACTCTGGAGCAGTTGCAGGCTGGACGAAAGACAGAGCGAGAACAAAAAGTTATCATTGCAGGCATGCGCTCCAAGCTCCAGCTCGTTCAAGCTACGCAAGACGAAATCGATCGCCTCACAAACGAGTGCAAAGACATCAAGCAGCAACTCATTCGCTCGAATCACGATCGTGATATCTTCTCCGCCTCTAACAACCACTTGAAGGAAGAACTTGCTCAAGTAACCAAAGCTCTGCACGTCGTCAAGGTCGAGAAAGCTCAAATCGAATCCGACTTTGGCACAAACTGTACGTCTACATGTACACTATTCCGCGCCAACGACTCCAGTATGACTAATTGTTGTGTCAGACTACCGATTACAGGAAGAAATCAAAAAGTCGAGACAGCTGAGTGAGGATCTCGCAGCACGCGACGCGCAGCTCAAAGAAAAGATCGGTATTTGTGCGGAGCAGCAGCAATCTTTGACATCATTAAAAGAAGAATTGGTGTCGACGTTGCAGCGCTTTGAACAGACCAAGCGGCATCTGGAAGATCAACTTATTGAAGAAGAGCGTGTAAGAGAGGAGATGCAAGAGCAGAACCTGGAATTTCGACGTCTCAACAAGAAATTAGTGCGAGACTTGGAGAACATTCAACAAAACCGCTCGATAGATATGGATTTTTCATCCATGATTGATGATCCAGAGGTGTCCGATAGACCGGAAAGCACCAGCTCCAACAAGGGCCGCTCGCAGAGACAACAAGCGGCAAGCCAGGCAATGCGGAACAACATACGAAAGAAGATAGAGGATCTTCAATACCAACTGGAGTGGGCTTCGATGCGCGAGAACGATCTAGCCGGCCGGTTAGCACGTAACACTGGCGGCACCAGTAAGGTCCCTGCTCTGAAGCGGGTGCTCAGTAGGATGCCGAGCAGAACTGTCATTACTCGCCAGTCGAATTCCGATCTTGAGGTGGCTCGAATCCCAGAGGCAACCACGCCTCAAGATAATACACAAAAACCAAACGAAGGTGAGACTCGCCGGCCAAATCGAAAAACTGCAGTCAGTGCACCCGTTGAGCCTGTGTTGAAGGAAGAGGACGAATTGGAGGATGTGTTAGCAGTCAACGAGCAGAACTTTGAGGCATACCACATGGAAATCGCGCGTATGCTGGCGGAGGTGAAAGAAGGTAAAGACAACATTGCCAAACAGCAAAGAGTGATCACGGTACGTTGCAGTCGGTCATTTTCTACTGTAAAATATTTTTATGCCACTTTTCTTCCATTAAACAGGAGCTGGAACGAAAAAATCTCGGACTGACCGATCGCCTTGAAGAGTCCAAGCTGTCTATTGAAGCGCTAACTGGCAGGTGCGGATGTAATAGCTAATCCGAGTTTATACAAAGCGCTAACCTCGAAAAATCGTGCCATTGGTAGTGTGAATGCACTGAAGATGCGGTTGAACCAGGATAGTGCTGGTGCTGCAGAGATGATGGAGGCCATGATGCGCCAAGTCGAAGAGGGAAAGCGAGAACAGCAATATGAAGTTGAGAAAAGCACCATTTTGATGACCTTCTTGCGCGAAGTATCCGAGTCGGTACATGGGGTCAGCGATAACAAAGCACTCATTCTAGAGCTGGAACTAGATGCTGTACCAATTGATGATCCTAATGAAGTCGTGCGTGATGGTGAAGGAGGTATACAAATGATGGAGCTGCAGCGCAAAAAACGAGACTTGCGTCGAAAGGTGCTCATGGAGAAGGCTATGAAGAAGTTTGGGATCATGTGCCACAATCGAGCCGAGGTGGTCGGAGTTGAGATGCAAAAGATGAAAGCCACTTTCGAGCGTATGCGTGAAGATCTCGACCAAGCTGAGAACAAAATTGACTCGGATCAGCTTCATATTCGGACACTTGAGGCAGAAATCTCGAAACTCCGTCTTGTAGTCGACATGGAGAAGAACAGTTCAGGAAAATTGGAGAGATCACTGGTACGTACATCAATAGATTCGGTGATTTGACAAGGACTAACAGTTTTCGTGTCCCTAGAAACAAACAACGGAGGAGTTGAACGAGTACACGATCAAGTGTAAAGTACAGGGAGAGGAAATGACTGCCCTCAAGACGGAACATGGGAAGCTGGAGGACGATCACAAGCGACTCACACTCCAGTTGTTCGAGAAAACCAAGGCCTGGCAAAATGAGATCACTATTACTGACATGGTTTGTATTCTATCGCTCACGTACAGAAGTATTTTCTAACTAACATGCAAACTTCTATGGTTGTAATGTTCTCACAGTGTAAGAAGATTATTGAGAATTTAGAAGCTGATAACGGTGACATGAAGAAGGAGTGCCAATCTCTACAGCAAAAGGTTTGTACCTTTCGAGTTACATGTCGTGTTTGTTTAACTTATCCTAACAAACAACTTGCAACAGCTCGACGAGGTCGAGGAACAGGCTGAATTTCGTCGCCGTACAAATCGAAGCGTAGACGTATCGGCGATTCCTGAAACAACCGACTCAGAGGTTCAAACAGATCGGTGGAAACCGCAAGGATTGATTCTGCGGCAGCGCAATGGTCCCGATCGCATGCCGCAGCGGTTCCTTGGTAAGGCATCCGTCATGATTCATTGTCCAGAGTTGAGCCACCCTCGGTCCTCAGGGATGGATTCACCACCAATTTTGCAGAACCAAGAGCTTGGTGCTTTATCCAGTTTAGGTGGGAACTCGCCCCAAATTACCGACACAGATGAACATATGCGTGGACTGCTCGAGCTAAAAGTGTACCCGTCGCTTAAAGCTGGTGGGCGGCAGATCAAGACAAGTTACGCTAGTTCCCGTCCAAAGGCTCTATCACGGCTCTACCTGTCATCTGACGGAGTTTCTCAAAAGTACATTGCTCCGTCACCACGGCAGGGCCTGCGTGAAGAAACCCAGCAACGGATATCGTTCGATGGTAGGCCGGCAACAGTTCTTTGATAGGGTATTATAGACGCCACATTGTGTTGAAAAGAGTTTGAGACTTACATAGACAGACCGCATTTTAATGCTGCGGGATTGTTTTTTCGATGAAGCGCACACCTTCGACCTCGAGACGCGCTAGTGCTGGGCCGTAGATGTCAGGAGTCGTTGGAGTAAGCACGCCACAACCCTGAACTGCGTCCTGTAAGATCAACTGGACGCCGATGGCAGCACTCAAACCAACAGTCTTGGCCATGATAGTGTCACCTTTCTCAGAACCGTAGCCCACGAACGTCGACGTGCGTTTTTCCTTCTTGCCATCCTCGTACTCAATTCCGAATTCATGGTGCATGATAGCCATGTCGCGTTCTCCTGGCTGGTACGATAACTTGTCTTGCAACAAGGCACAGAAAGCGTCAAGTACGGACGAGGCTTTGACCACTGGAGTCGAGTTATCAAAGGCACCCAGCCACTCGAGGAAACCGTGAGCGTCTTGGCGAAGTCCTCGATATCCACCCAACTGAGTCAGGAGATCTGGCCAAGTGGATGGAATGGGTTTGGATGGGTCCATGTCAAAGAGGCCGAGCTTGCGTAGCTGGTACAGGATTTGACAGCAGCCACCGTAGCGCAGAGTGCCGCGATACAGAGAGTAAGCTTCTGGAATACCGTAGATATCGCCATAAGGAAGCGAATTACGATTCGGGATCTGCTCAATGTTGAACGCCGGCAAGAAATTCACGCGCTCGCTACTGTTGAGCAAATCTTCACCTGCCACGTTGATGATTTTGCCATCTTTGCGGTACTGGGCCGCATTCAATGCGGCAGTGAGCACACCACGCGGACTCCAGCTGAACTTGTAACCAATGGCATTATCCGCTGCCTCTGGCGCTGGCAGGCCGCCGCAGACAGACGAAAAGGACATGATCTTTCCAGAATGAGCCTTAACTTCATCAATGACCTTCATCGCACTCATATGATCCATACCTGGATCAAGTCCGATTTCACAGAGGATAGGAATACCAGCCTTCTTTGCCTTGTCGTCCAATTCCTTCATCTCTGGTGACACATAGCTAGCAGTCACCACAGGAGTGGCATGCTGAATGCAACGCTGAGCAATGGTCGTGTGCATGGTCGCCGGTAAGAGCGACACGACACAATCGGCTTCAGCGCAAAGCCTGTCGACACCATCAGCATCTTCAGATACGTTCATTACATGAGGTTTGATGTTTCGGCGAGAGATTTTGCGCATCATTTCCTTCACTTCACCCTCAATACCGGATACCACATGAACCTCGTTTCCTTGTTCACGGGACAGATACTCGACGAGCGGTGACGCCACCAATCCAGCGCCAAAGCATACAACCTTTCGCTTCTTCGGGCTTGAGACCGATACGTCAGCCATGGTATTGGCAGCAGCATCCTTTCTCACTATACCTCGCGTCTTGGAGTAGTTTGTGCCGCATAAATCGGGTAGTTCAGTGACCGTAGCCTTCGCTCCTGAAGTCAGCTCAGCTAGTGCGCGGATCTTCGTAATAATGTCATCCAGCGCTTCACGATCACTCATACTAATCTGCACAATGGCATTCGATATGGTGTTGTCGCCACTGTCTCCGACTCCAACGTTCGGACGTACTTCACAGTCGACAAGGTGGAAACCTCCGTCATGGTCTTCAATGAGGTTAAGCACCTGGTTAATGAGTCCTGTATCAAACAGGTGTCCTTCCAGTAGCACGCACGTACTCCCCGCAACCTCTTGTTGCGCATCCAAGAACTTGTACTGCTTGCTGCGCTCACGCTCGGCACGCATACGGTGAATATACTCGTATTTAGGCGCCAGAACACCATTGCTAGCAATACAAGCTCCACGCAGTTCAGCAGGGAGCTCTTTTTGCTCATGGAGAGGGACACCAGACGAAGAAACATTAGACAACGCCGTGACGTATCCGACCAAGCGGTCACCGAATTGCTGACTCGACTCGCCCGCCAGCTCGCTTGGTAAGATATCGACACCCATCATCATGATGCCATCGTCTCCTTCGAGGCCTCGACTGTCTCCGTCTTCGCGCATTTTATCTTCAGCGACGTCATACAGGGCAAACGGGCGTTCAATTTCAGTAGCACGCTCCAAAAACTCGACACTCCCGCCAATATCGCACGAAATGTCGGCAATTCCGAGCAGTTTGTGGTTCCCAGACGTGCGAAGCTCGCGGATCTGCTCTCGCGTGATTAACCTTGGGAAGCGGTCGTCCCAGTACATACAGTTGACAAGCATCGAAGTGTATGGCAGCACTTTTTCATGAAAAGCAGCTTCGTACTGGTGAGGATTTTGGTAGTAATGCGCTCGTGTAGTCTCACCCGTGAATCCGGGCTGAGGCTTGACAAAGTAGGACGGATCATCGATGACTGTGCCGTAGAGAATACGGTTGTTCTTCGGCAGTTTTGGCAGCTCTGATGGGTGCACCATCTCGTGCGGCATGAGCTTGAAGATCTCCTGTGCCCCTTTAGATACGTTGCCATTGCCCGTGAAGGCGAATGTCATTGGCGCCAGGTCACCCGGGAGGCCATCAGAACGAATCCTCCTGCCGGCAGCTTCCACGGCATCTTTCGCGTGCTCTAAGTCTGCGTACATGTAGGCAGACGCGACGTTCACGAAGGGAGAGGAGATACCCATATTAATGAGACGTTCTCCGAGACCTCGGAAACCCGCAATCATTCCCGCCCGACCGGCGTTGCCTCCGAAGGCGATGAGGCGCTTGCCACTCTCTTCCGTGATGCATTCATAGTCAATGAGTGTGACACGGCGCTGGAGTACGGCGTCTAGCAGCGCCATGTTCTCGGGCTGCGCCTTGATGGTGTGGCTGAAGAAGAGGTACGTCTTGTCCGCCAACAATGCCGGATCGGGCACCTGCTTGACACCCACGATGACGTTGGCTGGCGCCAGATCCTCGGACAACGTGGCCCCAGCGCGGACGTACTGCTCGTCCGAGAAGACGCGTGCTGTTGATGGCTGTACAAGCACCTGCACACCACGCGCCACTAGCTCCTTGACGTGTGCAGGCGTAAGCGGTGCGCGACGCTCCCATTTGTTGTACACCTCTCGTACGATACCAACACACTTGCCTGACATCTTCGGTTCACAAAGGTTCACTTGAGTCAGGCAGCGCAAATTTGGAAGTGCCTGCTGGTTGAAGACAAGATTCGGCTGTTGCAGAATGGACGCGGATTCGGAGTATAGTTAACAGAATGAAATAGGTACTCTTCATAATAAGTTTTAATTGAATAATATCATATACAACAGGATAAAGTAGATTTTATTTGACCTGAAAGCAATAAATTCCAATAAGTTATTTTACAGGCTATTTGTTTCAGGGGATTAGGCTCTATAATGGTGCAGGTTGAAGTTGGTTTCTGGCCGCCTTCGTAGACGAATGTCGCTGTAGACGAGAACGTGCATGGCGATCGTCTTCAACTGGCGTGGCTGAGCCTCGGCGGTATCATATCGTTTGGACGCCACGCGCTCTTGATGTGCAATACGCCGGGTTCAACTGTGCGAACGGCTGGCTATGACGCGTCGTTGGTCATGCATTTAAGCAGTTCCCAGCATGGACCGGTCTACCGCTGCGGCGCCGCGCTATTTCAGCTTCAAGGACTTCCTCACGGAGGCTGAGGCCGCTAGTTTCTTCGAGCTGCCTCATGCCGAGCAGGTGGCAAAAGTCACGCAGTACCTGGACTTCCTAGGCCAGCAACCAGACTCGTCGCAGTTCACGACGTCGTCCAAAGCCTCCGTCAGCTTCGCCAAGCTTCGAGATGACTACGACGCACCTGTCGAAGCAGACCAAGATGCCAGCTATGAACTAGATGCAGTACTATTGGAGCAACTGCTGGCAGGACAGACGCGCAGTGGATTTGGCGCCTTCGGCACCGAATCGGGCTTTTTGCCTCAAAAAAGACTGAGCTTGGCGGTCGCTCACGCCGTCGAGGAGATCGGTCACAAGTATATCGTCGAGCGCAACAAGCACGGGATTGTAAAGCCACCAGTGCTTAATAGTCGGAGTTTCTTTTTCTACTGGTGTCACGCCGAGAAGCAGAAGCTCATGGATATTCACGAGAAGCTAGTAGCAAGAGAGGTGCCTCCAAAGCGGAGGCATTTGTTTTGGCAACGCATCGCAATCATCGTTGATCGAGCCATGTGCGATGACTGTATCCAATTCGCGGAGTGCTTTGCACGATTTGAGACGGCATTTATCTGTATCCAAGACCCGGAGGTTGTACGAGTTTTCCCTCTATCCAGCAATCAGCAAGGTCGTCGTATCTCAACTACGTAGCATTCTCGAGCTGTCTACCATAGTTCGCATCTTCCACAAGATAACTACTTCTACATGCTTTTCACAGAGTGTGAGAAGCATGTAGATCATCTAGCACAACACAAAAAAAATATTACTTGTCACTCGAATTTCTTCGGGCAATATTAATAGCATGGTGCTAGGTGCTACCAGCCCAATCCTTTAGTATATTAAATACTAAGCAAAACTCTTTTTTTTTTTTTACTTTCGGACCAAAACGAAAGTGCATCAACACAAGCTGTTGATGCGGCAGTGCCAGATTGCCCCATCAACACGGTGTATTATGCTCCGGTAGCTTATATTAATAGACGTGTGCAGTTTTGAACTTTGCACTTTGCGTTTTGCAATCTAACCAACACCATTCAAGCAGTGACAATGACGTTTCCCAACAACTTCAACGCATACCAGTTCGAAAGCTATGGCCCGATGGACAAGACCCTTTCGATCCACTCTGACGTACCACAGATGCCTATTGGTTCCAACCAAGTGCGCATCAAGATGCACAGTGCTTCCGTGAATCCCGTCGACTACATGATCTTGGAATTCGCAGGAGAGGCATTTTTGAAGCGATCTCCATCGGCGGACAAGCCATTTACGATCGGCATGGATGGCGCTGGAGAAGTTGTGGAGGCTGGTAGCGATGTTCAAAACCTGAAGGTGGGCGATGCTGTCTACACGATGCTGCCATTCACAAGCTTCGGAACGCTCGCCGAGTATGCGGTTGTCAGCGAGGAATTCGTTGCGAGGAAACCGAGCAACCTGAACTTCGACGAGGCAGCGGCCGTGCCTCTCGTAGCGCAGACCGCCTACCAGGGTGTATTTGAGCACGCCAAACTGCAGAAGGACGAGACTGTGCTTATCTTTGGAGGCAGTAGCTCCGTTGGTATGTACGCTGTGCAGTTAGCGCACGCCATCGGCGCCCGTGTGATCACTACGGCCAGCGCCGGCAAAGCTGATTTCTTAAAATCTCTTGGTGCCAACCAGGTCATTGACTACAGGACGGAGAAGTGGCAAGACGTGGTGGAGCCACACTCTGTTGACGCTGTCTACAACTGCGGCATGGAGAACGCTGCATGGAACGAAGGTGCTCAGAATGTGCTGAAGAAGAACACTGGCCGCTTCGTCACGATCCTTCCGATGGCCCAGCCCGTGAAGGAGCCCGAGTTTGGGGCAAAGCTCGTTGGCCACGTTCACGTGGAACCCTCGGCTGAAACGCTGCGCGAAATCACCAAGTACATTGAGAGCGGCAAGGTGAAGCCTATCATCGACACGGTCTATCCGTTCGAGAAGGCGCTAGAAGCTTATGCGAAACTCAAATCTCGTCATGCTCTGGGCAAATTGGTGATCAAAGTTCTCCGGCGTTAACAGAGTGACTGCGTAGTTAGCTTACTGCAATTGAGGCCTGTTGTCTGCAGCTTGTAGTGCATCCGTGATGCTGCCTGTTGACTGCAGCTTGTATCAGTAGTGCAGTGGTCGGGTAGTGATACTGAAGTAATAGCAGACGCCCATTTTTTTCGACTAATGTATTTAGTGCAGTTTTTACCTGTTAAAACATGGTGTAATTGTAACGAGGCGGGACTATTTTTCTTGGAACCCGCATCTTGGTTTCAGTATGCTTCTAATATAAAATCCCATACCGGCCATTTGCAACCGAGGTTGTATTGTTGGCGAGCGACGATCATTGATTGGCTGATGCCATGGTGTCAGCAAGAATCTTTGCTGGAACCGTGCCGCTAGGCTCAGAGTCTCTAGTACATTCGTAGCCTGCTCGGTAGCAGATGCTGGCTCGCTGCGCAACCCTGGGTAATACAAAAAAAACAAGGCAGTTGCATTCAATGTAGTGTGAGACTCTGAGGAGCGGGTTTACAAAAACCAGGTCATCGCAGAAGCCACTTGGCTGGAGAAGCATTTCTAGCAAACGCCGACCATGACGAACCGCTACAAGCCCGAGCTCGTGAAATTCATGTCCTGCAAGGACGGCGTCTCCTATAGGAAGGGCCGCACGTTCACAGTGGACGAGCTCCTACGTATCACTCCAGAGGACTTGTGTCGTTGGATGAACAAGCAGACGTACGGAGATCCAGAGCCAAGTGATGATTTGAGGCCCATGCATCGCCGCTCGACAACCCTTGAGTTCACGAAGAAGGCTATTTTGTCGTTCATGCCACGCATAAATTCGACATGGGATTCAGTAACGGAGCGTGGAAACCCTACCCGGTCTGACGTCGCGAATAAGCGATCAAGAGGGTTAAGCAGTTCGAGGTTCGACGAGAAGGATCTGAATCCAAAGCCCACCGGCTTGTGGAGTTTGACGAATTCATGAATTTACTCCTTCTTGTGCGAGCTCATTGGGGGCGTAATGATAAATCGTACTCGGTGGGAACAGTTTTCAATGGGATATTTGCGCTAGGATTGATGACATGATGAAGTTGCAGTTTTCCAACTTCTCGTCTAACACCCAGTACCCTTCAACACTCCTCTTCCAAATGCGGTGGTCTAAGAACATACGAGAAGAGCGGGATTCCCTAGACTAGCTCATACTTGGCAGCATGGATCCCAAGATGTGTGCGTTGCTCAAGCTCGCCGTGTACATTGAGGCAACATCGAATATGGCAATTTCTGAGTATTTGTACGGCAATCCCAAAGACGGAGACCGCAATGTACGACGCTTTTTCTTAACAGATATGGTTGGTAATGAAGTCTTCAAGAAGCTTAAACCGGGAAATTTAGGAACGCACAGCCTCCCCGTTGGAGAACTCGCAAAGGTGTGATTGATATTTACGTCGACAATACGCAGCCATACCCAGATGCATTAACAGCTGCAGCATTAACAGGACAAGCAGGACCGTACTTTTACGTATTAAAGACTGGGATTAGTTGCGTTACGCCTGATTTATTCTGTAATGAGATTGCACCGACAGTAAAACAACTCATGGGCGACTCAATTGCGGAAATGTTGGCATTAACCCTGCTCTGGGCAGCAATTGAACCAGTAGATGCGTACGAATACGCACTACTGCCAAGCAAACTTAACAGCGAATTGTAAGCATCTACAAAAACGCTGGGGGGGGGGGGGGGGAGATCCGAATCCTGTGCAGCGCGACGAATTTTTTGTTGTTGGTGACGGCTCTCAATTCTTGCTCATTACTATTGCCACTGATGAGTGCACTGACCAAGACCATGAAACACGCTCTCAGAGACCACATCATGTAAACTCTATTGGAGGTGAAGGAACACGCCGCGATTTTGCGGTCCTTCATTCGCAGATCGCTGCTGGGCGACGCCAAACAGCAGAAGTGATGAGTGAAATTCATCGACTACGACATGAACTTCAACGTGAGCAACAAAAGACACAGGCAATACTAAGACGACTGGTAATTCAGGGAACTTTTACCAGAGTAGCCGTGCCAACTTCTCCCCAGCACAGTCAAATAGTGACACTTACCACTCAGCGTTTACCAGGAGTGAAGCTCTCTAAGCGACCTCAAGGATTTGAACGAGTTATGGCATGAGTATCAATTCGGGTCCGGCGATTTAAAAGCAGCGAAAGACTTTACAGCTGTTGAACGAGGCGCAAACAAGTTTGCATTCTCACTTGCATTCTCACGGAGGAAAGCGTTTTGGGATATCGTGTCAAAACTACACCATTTCAGATTCGTTCTCCCCAACCCCGGGTTTCAATACAACCAACCTGTGCATACTGGCGGGCAAACCCCAGTTCAAAATAACCAGACCCCGGATTCAAAATACACAATGCGCCTTTTTTTATTTTTTTTCATTTTTTTTTCGGAGAGGAATTATCAAATTTTGTCAATTTCCCACGGCCATGTCTTTCAGTAGGATAGCATCTGCAAGAAACCCGAAGGTGTGATGAATGCACTTACGGCAAAGCTCGGATGTGACGACTTCGCGGAAAATGGTGTTTGCTGCATGTAGCAAAAACGTCGAGCGATGAGCTGCGACGGTGGACCCGATTGGATGAGCTCCAGCCACGGTGAGAAAGTCGCGAAGACTTTAGACGGCGCGGAGGTCGTGGTGGTTCCGGGAGCAGGCCACCAGCTCTTCAGGGACAACGCTCCAGCCTTCAACGAGATGCTGCTTGCTGCACTTGCAAGAGCAACTTTACCACATAATCATCGTGGCGCGTAATCATCAAAAACCATCATGTCGCATGTGTTATGCTATCTTCGAGTGTTTACTTGTCTTTCAAAGAATGTAGGTCGTTCAGGACATTCGTCCTTGACCCGCACAACTGCTTTGACCCTATCAACGCCAAGCAATAATGCTGCGAATGCTGCGTCCTGTTGCCGCCGCTACAGGTATACACTTGCACCTATTGCATCTCTGATTTTGTGTGGCTAGGTAACTGAGGTGTCAATGCTGAAGCGGTGTTGCTTGCCGCAGGTGTTGCGACCGAGGGGCGACTATGGCAATGGGTGCCTGCAAGCTACTCCAAACTCGAGGAAGCGGAGCGCAAGATCCTCACACGCGCTATCTCATCGCCGTTTGAAATGAAGAAGGTTGCGCGGCTGGGCACCGTGGTGGTGCCCTGTTCGGACGAAAAGAAGCGCGAAAGCGCCAAGAATCTCGTGCTGATCCACGGTTTCGCTGGTGGTAACGCGGTGTGGGCAATGGTAAGTTTACTGATGCAATGGGTGTACTACGTGTTAGTTTCGCTGAGTATTGTGGTGTTGGCTATATCTGATAGAATCTGGAGAAATTGTCCAAGCACTTTAATGTGGTAAGTTTTCGAACGGAAAATCTATGAGAGATGATAGAGGAAAGGCTGGGTTTTGGAATCAAGGCTGACTATATATTTGCGATGATAGTACGCAGTGGAGTGGATTGGTGTCGGGCGGTCGGATCGTCCTGACTTCAATTTCAAAGATGTAAGAATTTTCGTCGCTTGAGGTAATTGATCGTGGCTAATACTCTCGTTTTTACTTGCTGGGTAGTATGACAGTGCCGATGACTTCGTCGTTGGTTCGTTCGAGAAGTGGCAACAAGAGATGAACCTTGAGAATTTTGAATTGGTCGGCCACTCAATGGGGGTAAGAAATACATACTTATGAACTTTTGGTTTGCTTGATCCAACAGTGTATCTGATACTATCGTACATCCACTAGGCTATCTTCGCATCTTCATATGCATTGAAGCACCCTGAGCAAGTCAACGTAAGTGCAGTGCAGTCACGATTTCTTCTGTGGTTTCTAGTACTGTAGACACTGACGACAGACGCTACTCCATTCGATATTATAGCACTTGGTATTGGCATCTCCTGCAGGTGTGCCACACCCACCACCGCCTCCGGATCCGACGACGGAGGAAGGCAAAGCTGCTAACCGCTCGTGGCTGAGACGCATGGTCTTCTCGGCTTGGGAAAACGGTGTGACGCCGATGTCTGTCGCTCGCTTTATGGGGCCGTATGGACCGAGACTGGTGCAAAACGTGGTGCACCGTCGAACTTCATTCATGTCGGAGGGAAGCGCCATGCGAGACGGTCGTGTCAACTTGAATGAGTTGGGTGAATACGTTTACCACAATTGGGCGCTCAAGGCAAGTGGAGAACGCGCCATGATCACGCATCTTGCTCCAGGAGTGCACGCAGTTCGACCACTCGTGGACGTATTGCGTCCAGAGAATGTGAAGATGCCGCTTACGTTTATCTATGGCGAATACGACTGGATGGACTACCGCAATGGACTAAGTATCGTGGAGCGCTTCAAGGAGAAGGGCCACGCTGCTGATCTTTATCGTGTTCCGAACGGAGGCCATCAAATGTTTATGGAGAATCCGGACGACTTTAGCCGCATCCTTATCGACAACTTGGCAAGATAAAGCACCGCTCTTGAACACTTCTAGACGAATAAACTGTATGCAGACTTTACGATTTATTTTCCAGACGTGCCTTAAAAAGCACCATATCACTTCCTTCCTGGAAGTCCGGATGCAGTTCCAACCGGTCGATCTGTTCAATTTCAAACATTTTTTCAAACGATTCGAAGAACTGCTCTTCCGAGTTTTGACGTTTCTTGTAGGCAAGCAGCACCAGCGTCTCAGGTCCAGCCATTGCTTGCAGCGACGTCATTAACGCTTCAAATGCTGAGGCGTACGGGCACGCCACGATGTCAGCTCCAAGAATCACGTCGTAGTTATGGCCGCGCACGAGGTGATGCTCCATGTCACCCCAGAGATACTTGTCCGCAGTGCAAATCTCTTTTGAGAGTTCGTTCACCTCGATATTGTGCTGTGTGAGTGCAACCGATGCTGGATCTCCATCGGTCACGACAATACTCTTGGGCTGTAAGTGAGCAGCTACGACTCCAACAAGTCCCGGACCGCATCCCAGTTCAACGACGCGCTTCCCCTTCACCAGATCTGGATGAGCTGCTAGATACAGTGATAGTGCAATGGCTGCGTCATAAACTGAAGCCCCGAAGCCCAAAGTCGTACCACCGCGTCCGTCGCTCTGCCACGCTTGATCAATGCGAATACGCTTACCGGCGATCGGGAACCAACGGGTGGCGTCACGCAGCGCATCGTGAAACGGATTCCGAAAGGAAAACGGCACCAACGCAGACGCTGCGGATGGAGGTGGTGCCTCCGGTTCATTGCAGAAGCTTCTGGGACTCTCCACAACACTCGTAGAAGTTTCGATCGAGTCCATCGCACGAATGCGGCAGAATTTCGCAAATTTTCACAAAATTTCACAAAAACTCTATCGGTGTATTTCTTAATGCAAATATTGCATTACGGTCTTGACGAAGTTGCTGTTGTTGCTGTTGCTGCTCGTCTTGTCTGTACGGTAAAGAAGCTTAAATAAAGGCCAGGTTGAGCTGGTCATCGAAAGGCTTGAGTAGTGGAGCCAACAGATTCTTCTCGTGAGGTGGCAGCGATTCGCGCAGCTTCACCAATTCGTCATACTTGGACCCCATCTTCTCCACGATCTTGTTAAGCTTGTGCTGGGCTTCTGGGCCACCACCTTCCGCCACCTTAGCCTTAAACGAGAGGAAGTGCCTCAGCAGTTCACAGACGTCATGGAATTGGTTGTAGACCTGCTTCTTGAACTCGTTCGGGATGTACTCAGCAGCCAATGCACCGCTCGCCAGATTCGCAGCTGACGACGCTGAAGCTGAATCGCTAGTGGAGTCTGAGCACGCTACAACTTCAGCAAGAACGTTAAAGCACGTCTTAGAAGTCGGGTACGCATTCTCCAGCTTGATTGGGGCCTTGCACGTCGCCTGGAACACTTGTGCTGCCTCCACTAGGGACAGCTTGTTTGTTGTGCCGTCAGCAGCAGTACCCTTCTCGGCGTGTTGGAAGTACCTCGATTCATCTTCCAACGTAAGTGGGTTGTATGGGGGCGGCGCCTTGTCCTGAAGATCGTCCAGCAGCGTTGCGTCCTCTAAATTGTCGTGATAACATGCTTTCTTCTTCTGGGGCAGCGTCTGCTGTGTATTATTTTTCCCAGTCTTTTGCTGTTGTAGCTTCCCTGCATGTGCTGGATCGAGCACGTAGGCACCATGGCGGTTAAACTTAGCAATAGTAATGCTGGACGGGTTTTCTTTCTCAGTAGTGTGTCTTTTGGCATGATGCACCGCCGCATCTTCTTCAGTTGTCGTGAGATCAATCAACGGGTCAACAATTCCGCGTGGGTCGATGCTCACCCCCTTGGCCTCCTGTTTCTCCTTCTCCTCATACTTGGTGAACATATCTTCGTGTCCAGCCTTCCTGTCTCGATGGAAGTACTTGGACTTGAAGAATGCTCCCCAAAACTCCGTCTCAGTCATCTTGTCGGGTACTTGTCCCTGGTAGGCTCTGTAAACGGCTGGATACTGAATGAAAATCTGGTGGATCACTTCCGCGTTCAAGTTGTACTTGACCACGTTACCACCCGAGTCATTATCCGCTGCCAAGTCCGTCAGGATCGCCGACGTCTTGCCTGTTTTCTGTCGTTTACTGGCCTCTCCAGCGATCAAGTGACGGCGGCTCGCCCAGAAATCCTCCTCCGAGATGAGACCATCATTCACCATCTCAGTGTGCTGCCGTTTTAGCGCCGGGTTGGCAGCCAGAAGCGCCGCGCGTTGCTTGATCTCCGTGGGGTTGCACAGCGCCGCGGCATTGGAGCGAGTGCCACTGGCTCCGTTCTCGCGCAGCCGGCGAGCGATAAAATCTTTGGCCTGCTCGCGCACCTCGAAGGCATCCTCCAGGCTGCCAGACTCGGCGACGAACTCGAACACGAGAGTCGAGTTGTGTGCGAGGCGCAGACGGATCATGGCTTTGGGACTCGAGAGCGACGACACCTGCTGGTCCTGCACAGTGCTCCATGGCACGACGATGGGCGGGTGCTGAGCGACGGACGCCCCAGGAGACGCATCAGCTGTCCAACGCAGGCCTTTAAGCGAGAATTCGGCGCGTCCATCGCGCTTCTTGACGCGCACCAGCGCCACTAGGGCCTCCGACATCTTCGTATGGGTTGAGATTTCTTATGATAATGAAAACAAGAGCATAAATATCAATAAATAGAGACATATTTGTATGTTTACATTTGTCTTGCTAATAATATTCTTTCGCATATTTATCGATTTTATAGGTTAATAGTTCTGAAGACGTACCCTTCGATCATTGATACTACGATCTGACTGCATTATTGCATTTGAGGGAGAATGGCAAGGTGGACACTCTCGCTCTGGGTGCCGCTATTGCTGGCGCTGGGCTGCGTTTGCGGGGAGGAATACCATCGACACACGAATAACTGGGCGGTGATTGTAAGTGGAACACGTAATACCGGCGTGACTTTTTGTCTGACAAAGATTGTCGCCTTGCCTGAGTAGGTGGACACGTCTCGCTTCTGGAGTAACTACAGACACGTTGCCAATGCTCTGTCACTCTACCACTCAGTCAAACGTCTCGGTATTCCGGACAGTCAGGTCAGAGAACAAGCATTGACATGCACAACGCAGAGACTACTGCTCGCTGACGATGTTGCCTTTGGATGTTGCTGCGACTGCGAATCACATTGCAACTAAATAGATCATCCTGATGCTGGCGGACCAAATGCCATGCAATGCTAGAAATTGCTTTCCGGGACAAGTATTCAACAGCCGAACGCAGAAGATCAACCTGTACGACTCCACTTTACACGGAGTTTAGCTGTTCCTGTGCCATCGAGGGCTTGAGGCTCCGGTCAGCTTACGGGGAGCTTTACTAAACCTGCTGATTTATCTTTTGTTTGTATACGCTAATTTACGCAGCTACGGAAAGAACGTTGAGGTAGACTATCGCGGCTCTGAGGTATCGGTCGCCAACTTCATCACCGTCCTAACGGGTGTGTGACTTGAATGCCAGTAAAAATTGCAGCTTGAACTACTCACGCTAACAAGATGGAAATTGTACGAGCAGGTCGCCACGAGCCTGGAACGCCCGCATCGAAGAAGCTGGACACGGACGAGAACAGCAATATCTTCGTAGGAATCTCTACGTTCGAGCTTGTCACACACCCTTTCGCTCACGTGGATACTATTGCGTTTTGCAGCTTTACATGTCCGGGCACGGCGGCGACGGGTTCCTCAAATTCCAGGTGTTTACGTTAGCCACTAACATCTAACGCAAGATCAACGCGTGATGGGACTGCAATACTAACAATCGCGACGTGTCTAGGACTTTGAAGAAATGTCGAGCCAGGACCTCGCTGACTCGATTCAGGAAATGCACGTCAAGAAGCGGTGCGTCCAAGTGCTGATTGGATAGACCAATGAGACTTCTAGAGCTTACCTGCGTGGCGATGTATGCACAGCTACAACGAAATCTTCTTCATGGTCGACACATGCCAAGCAGGATCGCTGTCCAATGCTCTCGAGTCGCCCAAAGTGGTGACCATCGGCAGCTCGCAGACAGGCGAGAACTCGTACGCCCACCACTCCGACTTTGAGGTTCATTTTTACAATTGGCTTTCGTTTGTTGCTGTTGCTGTGATACTGACTATTGCTTGTTTTGATGCAGTTGGGGCTCTCGGTGATCGATCGCTTTACCTTCTCGACGCTGGACTACCTGCAGCGGATGAAAGTCGGCGATTCCATCCGCAATGGGACTCTCCGAGACCTCTTCAACTTCTACGACCCGAAAATGCTTCTGTCAACTCCTGACTACCGGACTGACATCTTAGGCCGCCCCATTGACGAGGTACCCATCACGGATTTCCTCGGTTCAATGCTGGACGTGCATCTTCACTTCGACGACGAGGCGTATCCGATCGAACCCGCACCAATTGAGACCACAGCTTGCAGCGCGGAGGCGTTGGAGATAGATGACCCCGTTAAGGTGCTTAACTCTCCTGCGCAGCTCAGCGGAACCTCGACTTCAGTGAACTTACAAAGCTTTGAATTCAGCAACGAGTTTTTCCTCGGAGTCGCGGCTGCCGTGATCGGCGCTGTGTTCGTAACCATTAAAGCGATCTAACATAAAAACTAACAGTGTTTGATCAATGACTTTGTGGTTACTCATCCTGAACTTCTCAATTTCAGAGTACGACGAAAATTAAATCACTAACTGGGACAGCATGAAGGAGGCAGCTTAGCCGTATCCTCGCTGGCTGTGGTTGTTGGTGAGGTGTGCACGTCGATACATGGAGTTCGGGTGGTGCGGACTCGTTTCCTCCTCTTCGTCTTCGTCTCCCTCATCCGGATCTGGACTGAATTCGTCTTCGATGGAAGGTTGACTCCGCATGAACAGGCGAACGAACAGGACCGCAATACCGGAGATCCAAATAGGCGACGTGCAAATGCTGAGCGCAATAAGCATCGGGCTCAGCAGCATAACGAACGGCACACACACCACGGCAGTGAAGTGCCAGACGATCAACGGGCGTAACTAGATATTGCATAAGAAAACATTTGAAAGCTATCAAATAACTCCATGTAACCACGAGCACATGACGCACAGACGAACCTTGGCAAACAACGTGGTTTCTTGGATGAATCTCGGTACTACCACCGCCACAATGCGTTCCACTGCGGACCTGCTCAGCGATGCATATCGAACTCGTAAGACTATCACCAATATAGCCAGAACAACTGCGGTACTCACCGTATTTTGTGTACAGGTTGCATCACGAACACAATCTTGGACTTAACCGTCGTCACGAGCTGTTTGCCAGGCCGCTCTTCGTATTCATCCCGTTCATCATACGCCTCGTGTCGCTTTAAATGCAGCTTCATGAGCTGCGGTGTATAAGGCGTGTTGAGTGGAGTTCTGTCGTTGCGCAGTACTCCCTGTATCAATTGGATCAAGTCATGAATGAAGTGAGTATAGCACACTTTTTCGACACTGACACTAGATAGTTGGCGCATACCACGATGGGCTGTAAGCCAACGCCGTACTTGCGGTGGAGGTATGGGTCCCACTCGGGCTCCATGCTCAGCGGCGTGACGCTCTCCAAACTGTTGCCATCGACGGGCCCTGCAGATCAACACACAGCAATTTAGTCGTCTGTCTCCATCCATCAGAGTCGACTTGGGTGCACTAATGCCGACGTTGAAGCTGCTAATGCTGACACAGACGTACCGCCGTAAGCTGCGGCGGCCAGCGGCGACCGCGACGTCTTCTTCTTCTCGTCACCCATGCGTCTGGTACTGGTGGTGAGACGTGGGTAGAAGTATGGAGGGCAACGCTTGGTTGGCTTCCTATATATTGGCTGCGCGCACGGCTTGTTGGCTCGAGCTCCCAACTCGGCGTGTGACGTGAGAGCGCGTCCGCTGAGGAGCTTCGAATATGCATAGACAGGGCAGCAAGAGGAGATGGACAATCTGGCGGCTGAAGCGTCAGTGTACGCGTACGTATAGAAATGTTCGTACACATATTTGTGGTTGACACACAACAAAGTCAGTCTTGCAAATGCTGGCTGATTCTACATGTGTTCTCACAGGTTCATCGATTTTCAGCTCTTTTCAGAAAGATTGAACAAGTTTCAAAATATCACGTCGTATTATACGTTATTCAAGGCTATGCATTATCCTGGGCCGTGAGTTTCATGGGCTCATTCGGCAGGGAGAGGAGACAGAAACAGCGTTGACCGACCAGGAACGAAGCTGGCTGCCCGCCCGCCCGCCCTATTAAGCTCCACCTTCCACCCGCCTTATCACCAGCTACGGGACGATGGCTCTGGATCTGGGCAACGATCAGTACGCGCTCACGCTGCTAGGTAGCAACGGTAGCGACGACCAGTACGATGGAGCGGGCAATGGTGGCAACAGCCTAGCCGCGCGCCCGTACTCTAAAAGCTCGGCTGGTGTACGTGTCTGAAGGCATATATGGCATCACAGGGACCCCATACTCAAATGTACACTCTTTGAATTTTGCAGGCGGATAATGAGCAGATGCGGACGGAGATTGTGCGCTTAGAGAATGTGCTTGCCAGTCGCATCGCAGCCCGTGCCAATCAGGACAAATCCAACCTGCCACTAGAGCGCTCCAGCAAGATCGAAAAGTACGTGGAGGTAATGGAGCTCACCAAGTGTTTGCGTCGCCAGAAAGAGTTCCTGCTGAGTGAAAACCGCAAACGCCAGCGCTTCGCCGAGAAGATTCAGCAGGCCATGCCGGTGCGTACGGAGCTGCAAAGGTTGAGGTACATGCTGATGGTAGGAATACTTACGGTGACCTATTTCTGTTGCTATCAGCCGTCCACCGATAGCATCCAGTTTATGAAAAATGTCAAGTACCCACCCGATGAAGAGCTGGAAAAGACGTCCCGAGAGGCGTTTATGGAGATGATGGAATACCAAGTGAGTGGAGAGGCGGCCACATACATGGGCTGGCAGACCAAGCGCGAGTCCAAGTCAATGTACATGCACACGTTCTCCGAGAAGAGCTTTGTGGGGGAGGACATGGCTCGCGTCTTTAATGAAACTTGGGCAATGTTTCACGACGAGGCCAAGCAAGAGCTGCTGCACCGTCGGCGAAGCAAGTTCTGTGTACGTTGCACAGATGTCGTGACTAGTGTTCCTTTGGACTGACTTATGCTGTTTTGGCGTTTTCAGATTTTGAAAAAGCTGAACGACAACATGTACTTGACGCGCAACATTCACCAGTTTATTGGAGAAAGCTTTCCGCGCCATGCTATGACGCTCGTGTGCCGCATTTCGATTGATAAGGACACATTTGCCATTATCAGCAAGTCCGTGGTCCCGCCTACAAACGACGCTCAGCACCTGGTATGGACTGACGAGTGCTTCATGTGGAAGTTTGCGCGACGCATGGACGCACAGGGTGGATTCGACATCTCCATCCGTGGCAAGTACGGCAGTACTTCTGCAGTTGCAGGCAACCGCTTGCCCATGCTCGAATCCTACTTCCAGCTTGTGGACTGGGAGTCACTCGTTATTCGCCCAATGTTCGACTTCACTGTAGTGTAGCTTCTCGATGCTGAATGCTCAGTTGATGCTCGGCAGGGTAGATGGAAAGGTTTCGAGAGGAAGAAACGACGACCGCGATAGCGAGGAAGGATTTACAGCTAATCTGCTGCAGTCCAGCCAAGCTAAGACCAGCGCAGCTAAGCATATTCTTTCTTTTTGTTGGGCAGTAGTCGAGCTACCAGCGCCAACCGGCCAAGCTGCACCAGTCGGAAGCTTGTACGTACCCAATTGTGCACGCTTATAATTTACTTCCTGTTTAGCTGTACGCTTTTGTCATCCCGTGCATTACTTCTTGAGTGTTAAGCACTCGAGCTCGATAGCTGTGGCAAGCCTTCGACCTTCTGGGTGTTCTGTTGATGGCTAGGCTTGTCGAGAAAATATCTGTGTTCATTTGTTTGAGTAGTCAGCTAATACTTCAGTAGGCGATAAGGATGAAGTCTGTGGACTTACACTATCTCAGCGACCCGACCTCGGAGTGAGGCAACTTGCGTGAGCTCCTCTTTCAACAGCATTGCGACCACAGCAGCTTCGGTTTCCTTGCAGTCCAGCTGAGCAAACAAGTGCGCGCATTGCCTTCCAATCCACTGCATACGATCTTTGCGCTTCGCCTCGGCAGCCTGGAAACTATCACTGAAAAATGGTCCAATCTGAATAGATCAGTACTACGTACCTCTGTGTGAAGTTGCAGGTGCCTTTGAAGTTCGTCCATTTTGTCTTGAGTTTCATCGACGTCATTGCGAATGCGTCGCGAACTAGAGCGAACTCTTGATCCCGCTGTTACTCCTCGCCATGGCACTACTCTTTCTTCTGTATCTGTTGGCTCGACAGGCAATAGAGGAGCTGTTTGCAGTAACATTCCCCGCATAGCGCTACTTTGGAACTGAGAGCTTGTTTTGTGGCGGTGGCGTTTCCTTGCTACAAGTTCATTTTCGGGCTGTTGGGTTAATGCGCTTAGCGCCTTCTGACGCTCCTCTAAAAACTCTGTCTCCAGTTGTTCAACGAATGCATCCAAGTCCTCCTGTAGCTTCTTGGTTTGATTCGTGAAAGCCTCCTGTATGTTAAAGCGCTCTTGATGAACCCACTCTTGAGCCAAATGAAAGCGTAATGAGTCTTCAAGTGACATTGTGACAGCAGGCAGTGAGGAGGGAGTACATTCGTGTTGTTGGTTGTCTTTGTCTTGCTTCTGTTCTTTTGGTTGCAACTCGTCACAAGAAATACCCATCTGACGACAGAACTGACGGAAGTCACCCTCAATCCCGGAAGCTAGTTGGTGGCGTGCCTCTGAAGCTCGCGAGTGAAATCGTTTCCATTTGCCACAGCTATGAGCATTTTCCACCTCATAGTGCTGGCGAATCTCCGATTCGAACTGATAAAATATTAGTTTCATCGACGAAAGCAACAGAAAAAATGAAAATTTAACCTTTCGATCCAGGTAGTCTGCGCTTTTCAGTTGCTGTTTGGTAGCTGAACGAAGTCCACCGCTGCTTCGTCGTCGACGGTCATTTTGAAGCAGTCGCATCAACACAGGAGATGGCTGGAATGGGAGCTATGAAGGATACCATACAAATGTTAGACACGATCACAATTTAGGTAAATGAACTCAAAATACATGATGCGTCTCGAGATTTAACTGTAGCAAATTCTTCTCGTTTCGCGATATTGCCTAGCATGTAACCAAAACGTCATGGTTACCCCCATTGATCGCTGTTGGCATTGAAACCTATAGCAGCACTTCATTACCTGAACCTGCTCAATTGCCACACAGATATCACGCTTCCAATTGCGAATTAAAGCAGCATATTTGTCCCCGCTTTGCATGATTGTGCTTCCTCCTCGAGACTAAACCTCGAGTATTTACCTGACATATTTTGCGCATGTCATTCGGTGTTGCGGTATTTTGGGAGCTCACCTCTGAACAGTTCGTTTCGTTGCTACAGTTGCTGATTCGTTGTTATTCGTTAGATAAATATCATTTGGCTCAACGACGAAACTAGCGGTAGAATTCCGAGTTCTCTAGGAGTGGCTCGTAATTCTCCACCGACAGCATCGCAAGCAAACGTTTGTCGAGGGTCAAATAGATTGGTATCAGCTCAGCTGCAATAAACACAACTACGAGCAGCATTGCCTGTGTCTACACCAGAGCACGCAACACAAACAGTTAGTAAGCGCAGCACAACTTGTCTATACCCTAAACTTTTTGCGGAGTACCGAAGCGTTCTCGCGGTGCACATTGAACCAGCCCTACGCTCAAAAAAATATTGTGAGATTTTGATCAAAGATATCGAGGCTTGACTTCAAGCTGTTACCTTGGTAAATGTGAGCAACGTCATTACACTGTACAAGATGCGTCCGAAGCTCCAGGCCATGACAAGCCGGCCAACACGTTGAAGACGAAGCTGGGCCGATTGCGACTTAAATGGAAATCCCGACAGTGACAGTGTCAGGTACAGCCACGTCGAGAAGATGATGATTGGGAGGAACAAGTCTGCCGCCGCGACCAAGTAGAAGATCATTGCGGGGATCTACACACCAGAATACCCCAAAAAGGTCAATTTATCAGTACAAAAGTATGCTCAGCTCACATAGGAGACGTACCACACTAAGACGATCTTGCTTCTCGTCATCAAAGATCCCATTTGTATCATACAGGAACAGACTGGCATACAGCACCAACTGTGTCAAGTACAGCCCTCCGTTGAAAACCAAGTAAAAAATCATCCACTTCCGTCTAAACACCGCCGCAGAAAACCAATGACGGCGCGACTACAGGCAAATGAGCGTAACAAGAATTGTCAGATCTTTTGCCAACTTTACACAATTATCAGGCAGTAAAGATCTCGATCTCACCGACTGAAATGCTTCAGCCCACACCAGTACGAGCAGTAAATAAGATGAAACGAAGAGGAAATCCGGCAGATTGAACAGCACGGCCACAACTTTGTTGTAGAAGTCCAGCTCCGCCTGTGCATGGCTCCCTGCTGAATCTCCATCTGTGTCCTCTGCGTCTTCTCCTCCGAAATGAGGCGGTAATCCCCCACGCATCCACGGGTTTCTACCAGAGATACCAGTCGGGAGATCCGCGGTCGCTTGGGAGTCTAGGATACAGAGTGTGGAGAAGGTGGCTGATCGGAAGAAGGAGCCCAGGGCCAAGCTCAGGATCAGCAGCTGTACAGTGCTCCACGTCGTGTGCTGAAGGCGCTTGAGCACACCCCGCACCTCTAGGTACTTATTGACCGCCATGGCGGTGAGAAGCACGTAGCATAGCGCCAGGAAGTAGCTGGACATTGCCAGGTTCGCGAGGAACAGCGGCATCTTGAGCGGAGTGAATCAGTCTTGTATGGTTTGTGGCTCTTTGATCAATTTTGAATCATGACACTTAGCCAAATCATTTTTGACTTGAATTTTGTAAGTGGATAAATATCAACTTTTTCGCATCAAGTTGAACATGTAATTCGCCGTGCGAATTGCACTAAGATTATTTGACGATTGGGATTGGCTGAAAAATATTTATGTGTTCTTGAAAGGTCACTGAGCTAAGTGCAACGATGGACGAGCTCGATGCACACGTTGAAGAAGTGCTGGAGAATACGACAGTGGTGAAGACCAAGTACATCTATTTACGTGCAATAGCTCGCTTTGTGGAATGGCTGCATACTAACACAGACGACGATCGACGGTAGACACTTTTCACTAGCTCATTCCAAGAGCTTCAGACTATTAACGGAGGCACAATTGCTTCGTGGCTGTCAAGACCACCTTTGCGAAGTCCCGTGTGTTTGGACTCTTTATCTACGCAAAATTGTATGCGTTATCTTACATCTATGGAGCAGCGTGGAGTAACAGGAAAGTCTACATTTGGCAACGTGCGCTCAGCAATTGTGTACTTGTACACAGCAACCGAACATTCGCGGCCCCATGACTTTGACTTTCAAATGCGGCGGTTTTTTTAAGGTCTTCATCATACAGTGGCTCAAGTTGCCCAGAACAGTAACGAAAGTCTTCGAGAAGGAAAAGAGCCATTCCGCTTTTCAATGCATAGGGCTGTGGCAAGGTCGATGCTCCAGTCTACCAAAAACACAGGATGCATTCGGTCATATTTTTCTTCTTACCTGTTGGAATCTCATGTGCCGCGCTAAGAACTCTCAGTCCATTCGGTACGGGCATACTTCGTGGTATGAAGATTTCCTTACGATTACATTCGACCATATGAAGAACGATCAAGACGGAAGCCGTCCACGTGACCCCAGACACGTGTACTCAAACCCAATAATGCCAGAAGTGTGTCCAGTTCTCGGACTCGCAATTTATTTTGCAGTTCTTGTTTTTTCTCCCGACGGTAAGCTTTTCGCAGGAGAAAACCAGTACAGTCAGTTTTTGAAAGGGAATTTTAAACCGAGACGTCATGAATGTCACTCTCGCTGCAGTTAGCATGTCAGCAAATTCTTTTGGAACTCATTCAGCAAGAAAAGGTGCTGCAACTTACGTCGGTGGTTGTTCAACTTCAGGCCCTTCAGTAGCAGCAATATGCCTTCGAGCTGGGTGGACACTGCCAGGCGTTCAGGATAAGTACATCCGGTGTGAATCTGCTGGCGACATGGTAGTTGGTCGTTTCGTTGCTGAGCCCCCTTTTGACTCGCCAAATTTCGCTGTATTACCGCCTTTTTTTTGATATTCAAAGTGGTCAAAACGACGAAAGCATGGTGCTTCGACAACGGATTAAAAAAGCTATGAATTCTATTTTTCCTGGAGTGCCATCAAATTTGAGTAGCGTCTGCCAGTTTTGCTTGGCTGCTTTGCTTTACCACAGAACCTTTCTACTGAAAACGCTACCTTCAACCCATTTACTTTTTGCCACACCAGTGTTTAGTTCAAGCAACGAGTAGCAGTTTCAATGGCTGCGAAAACGCTAAGGAAAATGATATCGTTTCTCCCAGTGGAATTCCGGGTTTGATGGTGGAGCTAGCACATTACAAGTCCGAGATGGTTAAGATGCGCGAGGAGCTTTCTCAGGCGTTTGAAGCAGCTCTCAAGCTTCATATTAATGGCTCTGTAATGACCATGAAAGCGTTGGAAGCAGCATTTTCATCTGTGTTAGCTCGATCCAATTTGGTACAGCTCAATTTGCATTTAGTGCAGTCGGCACTGGACAATTCCAACGCTACATGCATTGACCAAAGCAATGGCGTCCGATCTGAGCTTATTCTATGGGATTGCACTTTCGATCGAGTAGCGAAGGATTTTGGGCTACCGTCAGGAACTGTACGAGTTGTTTGGCAGCAGTGGTGTGGTGGGCATCCTCCACTGAGGCTTCTGACGAAACACGACATGTCTTCGAGACTGAAAACGGTGAGACTGTCGGATCTAAGGCGTGTGATGCTGCTAATCGAAGCACTTCTGACACAAGAAGAACTTAAGCGAGTTCATAGGTCTTCTGATGCAGCAGGGCTTTTATTCGAGCAGATTAAAGGCCGTCTTCCGTTCGCGTCATCTTCAGGTAAGGGGAGGAGACGAATGTTGGATCAGTTGTCGTGGCGAACGTTAGCACACGAGCTTGAGGCACTAAATAATTAACCTCTTGCCTTTTATCCAGTTGCATTGTTTGTTTGTCGTTCAAAATTATTATAGTGCAAACTGCACGGTCGATTTCTAGTACATCTTGGCATGTCAACGCTTATACTAGACTTTTGTATACCAGTTATTTTCGCATGTTGGGAATTCACCGTGCATTTTGCACGGCGATTTGTTTAGAAACCGCCAGGTTTGCACGGCGTTTTCTCTAGCAGTTGAACTTACACTATGTGCCAAAGTTACTCGCTACCAGCTTTATCCACATTTGTGCTGGAGTTGCGCTTGGTTTTTGCCTCATCTTCCTCGATGAACTTGATGTCGAAACAGTTGCGTTCAGTGGGGTCTTTGTATTCGAGTCCGAGCGCGATGAACACGTCCACCTCAGACTCGCAGATGACACTGTCACCAAGTCGCACTTTGGTTCCGTTCACTCGCATCACGCGAGTGAGCGCACGGTCAGAGAGACTCCAGCCATTTTTGTTGGCAAATAGTCGCATGCTTCGGTTGAAGTGGTCACTGCCCGTGAAATACAGCATTGCAAAGCCAAAAAAGTGTCGAGGATAGATCTTGATGTCCAAGCGGCGATACGGGAGATCCTGTTAGTCAATGTAGCAGACTCATTAGACTCAACAAAAACTCATGACTAAGGTCAATTTAGACCAACCTCAGAGACGCGGCATACGCCCATGTAAGTATCACAACCACCAGTCTTTTGCTTCAGAAAGTGTGTCAGATCGTCTGTGCAACACATTGAAGATGAGCACTCAACTTGTAAGAACAAATGAAGTGATACCAAAGACGGCTTACCTGTAAGAAAACCAGAAGCATGCAGACGCTTAAGTAGTTCCGGCAAGATATCGCAAGTGTCAGCGTCTGGGTTCGTAACAAGCACGTCGCAGTCACCAGAGGAGAGTTTGCCACGACGATACGAGCCGCATGCCAGAGCGATGGCGTTCGGTATCATCTTGTGAACTTCATCCACGACGCTTTGCTCAATTTGCTGTACTTCAGCTCTAGCAAAACAAGAGTACGACAGACAAGCATGTTTGTTAGATATCTTTTCACTGTTGTGTGCGTGTGTATTGTTTACGTACCTAGGAATCTTGGTCAGAAAATCTTCATAGTGCTTTACTCCAATTTGTTGTTGAGCTGTCAGCACTGCGGCAGCTTCAGGCTTTCGTAAATCTGCAACTGACTTGTACCCTTGGCCATAGAGTTTCGCTGCAGTCACAGGGCCAACACCCCAGATTCGAGCAATTTCAACCAAGGCACGCAATCTCGGATTGCTCTTCTTGGCATCGAGCTTGGCTAGACGACCGGTCTCGAGGATTTCGATGACTTTATCACGCAAACGCCCCTTTACCCAGTGCATATCCTTGAAATCCTTTACACTGCAAACGCGGTGACGCATGGCTTTGAGACTTGACACCACTTTCTGTGTTTTAAAGCCACAGCATTTCAAGCCAAACTCAAAAAACAGAACTATCTGCTGGCAATTTACCTTATACATGTATTGGCGCCATATATCCCGTTCGACATCAAGGAATTCCATCATCTCCTCCAGTGGGTCAGTCAGATGAGCATTGAGATTTTGCTGAACCGCTGCAATCATACAAATAGCGATACATTTAGAGGAAGGATATGGCACCTAGACCAAGAGGAGACCCTACCTGACGAGCGTTGACAAATGAAGCCTTTGCCTTGTACTTTCTTGGAACCTGGCACGGCTGATTCGTTAATGGGGTGGAAACCAGGATTATTCTTGTAGAAAATGGGTGTACGCTCCTCCACGAGCTTGCGGTTCTTCTCATTTAACGCAGCTCGTTGCTCGCGAACCTCTTCACTGTTAATCTCAGCGGGTGGAGCACGCACAATTTGTCGAGTACCCGAGTTCTCCGAGTCCAAACCTTCGTCGCTGTCGCTGTCATCGGCTTTATCTTTTCGAGCTTGCTTCTCCTCCAACTGTTGCGCCACATCCTCGCAATGTTTTTCATGTCTTGCTGCTTCTTCTTGCACGTGCTGCTGCTCGGCCCACGCCAACATGGATCCAACAGGTGGAAACTTTTTCTCTTGCCGCAAATACACCAACCATTCCGGCGTGTTGACCTCAATATTGGGTGGGGGGAACTTATCAACGTGCAAGAGCTCCGCCGCCTTCTCTCGCGTCAGTTGACCACTTGCAACGATTAAACTAACTTCACTCCACTTCACGACGGCGGCACCACCAGATCCAGCACCTGCCCTGGACTTCAACTGCGACTCCACCACATTTCCACCAAGTTTTTCGACCAGGCCCTGCAAAATTTCGATTCGTTTGCGGCCCATGTCCGGTCCGAACGGAACTATCAAAACCCGTTTGTCATGCAATAGCAGCGTCTTGGGATCCACAGAGGAAGTTGTATCTGTACGCTTCGACTTCTTGGTAGCTGGACCTTGGGGCTTCCGGTCCGAAGGCCGCTTTTCTTGTTGCAAGGCACCAAGCTTCTTCAGGTCGCGCATTTCGGCTCCTCCTCCTGTGGCTTCAGTTATTTGATCACCCGTTTGCTGTTGTGTTGGCAAACGTTCTTTCTCAGTAATGGTAGCGGACTTTGTCGCTTGGTGCCGCGTCCCGTTAGAGTCTGTCTGCTGTGGTTTAAGAAATGAGGGTTGAAGCAATTGTACCTGGCTTCGGTCGACGTCGTAGTGGACGCAGCAATTCTTCGATCTGGGCGAAGAACTCGCGCTTCTGCTGCGCGGAGAGTAGCTCCATGGCCTCACCACCAAGAGTTTGATAAGTGGAAATGGATTAGCTGAAGTGGTCAAAGACATGGCCGACAATAGTTAAAACGGTCGTTTGCGAAAGTGTTTTGATTGATGCTTACGAAGTTGTAGCATTTCGTAGGTAGTAAGGTATCTCAACAGATTCGCCGTTAGTGGCCTCTGCGTTATCACGCTTTACACAGCACTCAGAAGCGAGGAAGAACGCAGCAGTCGCTGCTACGTAAATGCCGGCGCAGATCACGCCAATCAACGCTACGATGGAGTCGGAGCTGACTCCGAAGTCAGTGTAGCGTGGGAGGAAGATGGCGAGGAGGATTCCAACGACGTTCTCTAGACACCGCCAAAGTTGGAGATGCAAGAGTTTCTCGCTACGAAGAGCAGGAAGTGCTGATCCGTACCGAGCAGTCAGCCTCGAGCCATCGACGACGAAAAGTGTGAAGAACGGGAAGAAGACGATCGCGCGAGGCAACTGGTCGATGAAGCGGGGACTTGTGTGCGCCAAGCGAAGGTTGGCAGTCCAGAGGATGGCAAACATTGTGATCACGATCCCGTATACAAGGATTGCAAAGCCCTTGGTCATGGCCAGAAGCAAAATCGCTCCCAAGCGGAACACGAACTGCCCTACAAGAAACACGAAAGCCAAGAGCTTCATCCCGTTGCCGTCTTCTTTTGCAACGTACGCAGTTGTGCCGCGCGTCAGCGTGATGAATGTCGAGATGACTGTGAAGAGATCGATAAACTTCCACTTGCGGTAGTGAATAGTGGCATTCGCTTGCAGTACGAACAGCGGAATATCACGCACGATAACCTGAACGAACATTGCATACAATAGTCCATGTTCCAGCTGCTTGGCATGTCCACTGACGCCTTCTGTCGCCTCTTCAGCTACAGTGTGTCCACCCGCCGTGTGCGTCAATGAATTGCCTGCGCTATTGCCTGGGTATGTGTCGTCTTGCGCAGGCTTATTGCCACTCTCGCTCTTAATACTCGCAACAGCCGCGTAGATGGTCTCGATGAATACGCGCATTTGAAGTAGCCCAATACAGAAGCCGAGCATCTTGTTGACCAACGTGTTGCTGGAGAAGCGATCTCCATACAATTTATCAATACCAAGTCCCACGAACCCCATGACGATACCATTCACAACGAGAAACACGATGGACAGGATGTACTCTTCGATCCAGTTGCGGTTGATGTACTCGTAGTTGAGGATCACGTCCGTCACCACCGTCGACAACTCATACGCTGCGCTCGAAACGTCGAAAGCAGCGCCAAGCAACATTGCTCACTGTCGTTAAAATATCAAGTCCCACGTGACGAATGAACTTCACAACCTAAGGAAAAGCTGCTCCATACATCTGGACTTTTCATGCTGATACTGACACTTCGTGGATGGGTACGCTTTCGATTGACAATTTTTATCGATTTCATTGGTCAAAACCCATCGACAATCACTCTTGCTGCCAAGTGCAATTATCCGCTGTACCTGTCAAGATGGCTTCCACTCTGGACCAGAGTGCAGCGCTAGGCCTGTCGTTCACAGCGCTCTGCTCCGTTCTAAAGGCCGTGGAGGCCACGCGCAAGAACGATTCGAAGCTAGACCTGCTGTTCAGCCCTCACCTGCACTCCCAGGTGGGCGGAGGCGACCTGTATCCTCTCATCCGTCTGGTGCTGCCCCAACTGGACCGCGAACGCACGTACATGCTCAAAGAGAAGAAGATAGCTAAGATCTACATCGATGTACTCGGCCTAGCGCCCATCAGCAAGGATGCACAGAAGCTCGAGCACTTTAACGACCCCAAAATTGTGGACAGCAAGTCTGTTGGAGACTTTGCCGCTGTATTATTCGACGTTGTGCTCTACCAGAGCGCGAGGACCAAATCCAAGATGCAACACACCTTGAAGGACGTTAATGAGCTGCTGGACCAATTGGTACTGGCGGACAGCAATGCAGCTAGGAAGAAAGTGTTTATGAAGCTCGCGACGGAGTATTCAGCCGACGAGCAAAAGTGGATCATCCGAGTGATACTGAAGGACCTCAAGATCGGACTGAGACACGAGCGTGTACTGAAGTTTATTCATCCGGACGCTATGGAGATGTACAATCATACCAACGACCTGCATAAAGTGTGTAGAGAGTTACGGAACTCGGCGGTGAGGTATGTACCTCAGCTTGAGCCGTTCCAAGTCTTCACTCCAATGCTGGCGAAACGAGTGAATTTTGGAGAGTGTATCAGTGCGATCAATGCAGATGCATTTGTCATGGAGCCAAAGCTGGATGGAGAGAGAATTACGTGTCATGTGCAGGGAAAAGAGGTGCAGTTCATATCAAGAAATGGGATTAACTACACGGAGAACTATGCACCTTCAATCAAGCCACATGTGTTGTCGCAATTGGAGTCTGGAGTGGACTGTATATTGGACGGAGAGATGATGGTCTGGGACAACACGGAGTACCGACTTCGAGAATTTGGACTTCTAAAAAATACTGCCAATGCAGTACGCAAAGGGGAAGCGACGAACCGATGGCTGTGTTATGTGGTGTGGGATGTGGTCTATCTTGGTGGCGGTCCGAAAGCTGAGCAGTTAATTCGCGAAGTATTCAAAGGTCCTGGTGAAATCAGCGCTGTAATGGGTCTACCACTCCTTGCACGACGCAAGCTACTGCTCCGAATTCTAAAGCCGCTTGACCATCGTATCATCATTATCGAGCAGAAACTCGTCAATGACAAGTCCGCTAAGGAAAGGCATGAAAAGGTAATGGCAGAGGTTGATCAGCAGGTATCGAACGGAGGTGAGGGCGTGATAATGAAAGACCTGAACGCACACTACATGTGTGGTGAAAGTAGCCGAAAGACGAAGAAATGGTTGAAGCTGAAGCCTGATTATGCCGGCATGACAACGGACTTGGATGTTATAATCGTCGGTGGATTTTACGGCACTGGAAGACGACGAAGTGGCAACGTATCCGTTTTTCTGTGTGGTGTTCTGGCGCATTCGTTAGACGAGAAAGGTGCTGCAGAAGCGACCAAGCCAGGAGCTCCATGCCCAGTGGTGTACACGTTCGCTAAGGTTGGTACCGGATACAACCTGGAAGAGTTGGAACAAATGCGGCAAGAATTAGAGCCATATTGGCAGCCATGGGATGACGACAATGTTCCCCCGCATTTGAACGGTTGGAAGCCGCAGAAGAGCGATTTGAGACCTGATGTTTGGATTGATCTACGACACTCCAAAATCCTCGAAGTATACGGATTTGAGTTGTCATTTACGACGCTCTACCAGACAGGGCTTACTATTCGCTTCCCTCGTTGCAAAGCAATCCGCAATGATAAGGAATGGTACCAGTGTATTAATCTTCAAGATCTAAATGCAACCCGTGGGAGTCTATCTACCAAGCGAGCTTCAGAAGTAGCTCTGGGGCAGAAGAGTGCTACAAAACGTATTAAGAAGCGCCAGACCATCTCGTCTCGGCGTCACAGCGGCATTCTCAGAGACTACTCTCGGGCAGACTTGGATGGTATCGAACAAGAGCGGAACGTATTCGAAGGAATGGAGTTCTGCGTGCTGCCTGGGAAGTACCGAATGCCCCCGCAAGATCTTGTATCATCAATTCCAGACGGGATCATCGAAAAGAATGCCATGCAATTGTCGAAGCAAGCCGTTGAAAAGCTGCTGCACTCGTTCGGAGGTACTATTGTCCAGAATCCAATTACCGGAACCACTCACTATGTTGTTGCCGCTGGAGATTCCGGTTTCAAAGTTGTGAATCTGAAGAAGCAAGGGCTGTTCAACATCGTGCACATCAGATGGGTATTCACTTGCGTGGCAGCTACTCGATTGGTATCTCTGAAAGCGGGAGATTTTATATTCGCAACGGATGCACAACGAGAGCTCCTGGCTAAGGAATATGACCGGTACGGAGACCATTTCACGGAACATATCACTCCGGACAATTTACAACGTATTCTGCGGGAGCTGTCGAGCGCTACCAACGATAAACCCACGAGCATACCTTGGCAGTTCCAGATAAAAAAACTGGAAATGGAAGAAGCGGAAGCGATGGACAGCGCGTTCACGTTCTTGTCCCATTGTGTGGTTTACTTCCAGTATAGCTGCAGCTCTTCTTCAGAAGATGAAAATATTGATGTTCTCTCCGTGGGGCAGATGAAGTTAATTGAGCAGCAACTCAGATTGTATGGAGGCGCGATTGCGCGTGAGATCGATTCTTCTGTCACGCATGTCATTGCTGATCCAGCACAAGCGGAGCAACTTGCACCTGCCATCAGGAACTTACGTCACCAAGGCTTGCCAGAGCCCCGTGTTGTCACGAAGGAATGGGTCCAGGAGTGCGTAGAGCAGCGCACTCAAGTATCTGACAGCGATTTTGTTGTGCACGTGTAGGTCGGACAACATATAATTTATTTCGCATCCATTTAGCTGTCTCGTGCCAATACAAGCGAGTTTCCTGTTGCTATCACAGTAAGAATTTCTCTTTTGTTTTTATTGGAAATGAGATGCATCAGCGCACCAGTCGAAGTCGCCGAAGTAGAAGCTGGTTTCTTCCTCGTCAGACAGAGTACCCTGAGGTTCCCGCTCTTCATACACGAGGTGGCCTTCAACTTGCTGCGACGTGAACTGATCTTCGAAGTTGGACGTGTCCAACTCGCTGGCCAGCTTGGGGACGATCGGCGGAGCCACTTGCTTCGTCTCAAGGCGGTGCCAGCTTATATTTGCGAAGAACGAATGGTCAAAGATCTCTTGCATTCCGTTGGGTCCATTGCCTAGACGCTGGTTCGCGTCCTTGTGCAATAATCCAGAGATAAAGTCGCAGAGATCAGGAGAGAAGTGGGTTGGGAAGCTCGGCTCGTCCTCTTCAATCTTGCGGAACAACGAAGCACGGTCGCGTGGCGAGTAGAACGGCGGATATCCCGTCAGCAGCTCGTACACTACGCAGCCGAAGCTCCAGAGGTCAGCAGCCAGACCGTAGCCATCGCCACGCACCACCTCGGGTGCGATGTAGTCTGCTGAACCGCAGAAGCTCTTGCAGCTTTGCTCTGACCGGTTCATCCGTTCGCGGGCAAAGCCGAAGTCGGCTAGACGCAGGAATCCAGCCTCGTCCAGCAAGATATTCTCAGGCTTGAGATCTCGGTACAAGATGCCACGTTCGTGAAGGTAACGCAGCGCCAGTGCAATGGAGGCCGCGTAGAACAGCACGTGGTCTTCCGGTAGGCGGTTCTTGGCAAAATTCTCTAGCAGGAAGTACATGTCGCCTCCAGGACAGTACTCGAGCACAAAGTTGAGAGCGTCCGGAGTTTCGAACGAGCAGTACATCTTGGTGATGAAGGGATGATTCACCGAGCAGAGAACCTTCTTCTCCGTCAGCAAGCGACGAGCTTCACGACTGGTGTTCCTATCACCATCGAGGCCGTTGATACTGCTGAGCTTTGACTTGTACACGACTTTAACCGCGAAAAGACGGTTGGGGCATGCGCGCAAGCGACACAGCAGCACTGTGCCGTACGACCCGGAGCCAATGATGCGCACGATGTCAAACACGTAACGTGTTGGGTCGCGTCCTTCTTCCTCTGACCCTTCTTCGACGGTCTCTTCGTGCTCCAGAAGCTCCTCGATCGAGTGTCTGAGGTGGTTCATCTCAGCGTCTGACAGTAAAGTGCTCGAAGATGACGACGCCGAGATCATCGGGCGCGATGCTACTGGCTTGAGACCGCTGTACGAACAGTCCCAGTCATTATTGCCCGACGACTTGGTATCTGACTCCGATGGCACTGTACTCGACGACGATGACACCGCAGACGGTGGCTTGAGGCAGCTATAAGAGCAGTCCCAGTCGTTGTTGCCGCTTATTGGCTTCTTACTGTTGTTCTTGACCGTGGGCGAATTGCCGCCGTTCTTCATGGCGTCCTCGAGCGACACCTTGGCGAAGGAACTGGCCAGAAGCTGGGCGAACGTCCACGTCTTGACGTTGCCCCACTTCTTGTAGTCCAGCGCCTTGGGGCTCTTGCTACCCGACGTCCGGGTTCCTGTATTGTTCTTGAGTGGAGGGAAGATCGGCGCCATTTGGCTATTGATTCGTCTCCGCCTTACACGACGACAGCTGCTGCGCTCCTCCTGGCCGCGTCTGCGTCCGAGTCCACTGCTTCTTCCTGGATAGAGCTCTTGACGGCGCAAAGCATCGAATGGGGCGCTGGGCTCCGGTCTGTTGTGCTGCAATCGGTCGGGCTCTCGGGCTGGGGGAGGCTGTGTACTCTTGGGAGCACCGAGGAAAAGCAGATGTCAACGTGGCCAGCGAGTGGACGAGCTGCGCTGGTGAATGCGCAATTTTAGATCGGCGGTTTTAGGAGCGGAAGAAGATCGACCGCAAAAATTTTGCAGTTTTACTTTGGCAGCCGTTTTGAATTTAAAACGCTTTGCGAAATCTTGGCATTGTGTCAGCTCTTTAGGGTCGTTACAGGTGAGCATTCATTGCTGGAGAAGGTAGTCTCTTCCGACGCAGGTGAGCGCAGCATTTTAGAACCAGCCTGTACAGCATTATTGAACTTCAAAGAAACAGCCTGAGCAATTAATTGCCAGGAATTTTGCTTTGCTTCTAAGTGAAGAAGGGCACGCAGCACGCAACTCGGAAAATCGGATGGCTTGTTGCAGCTGATTCTATGCTAGGATGTTCTCAGGATTCCACCTGGCCTGACTTCGAGAAATGCGTGTGGTGCCATTTACTGGAGCCTCTCCTGCACGACGGGCTCCCATACATTTGAGCCACCCATTCGTGAATTCACATGTGAACCATGAGGTACGGCCATTTAGAGCAAACATTTAGAATTTCCAAAATTATGAGTTAGAGCTTGCTAAGCACCCTTGCGTTTCAACGACGATCCTATCTGGCGCAAGGCTCAACCACATCAGTACCGACAATATACCTGGAGTCACTGCAGTGCTGGTGGTGCCTTGCGACGTTTCGGAAAACTTCAACGTGACCTCCACTCCTTAGTCTCCAACAACAACTTGACCTTCATTCCTTGTAAGCTTCAACCTGACCTTCATTCTGCTCAACTTCAACTTGATCTCCATTCTTACGACCTACACCTCAACCGCTACTTGTAGCTTGGAGACCGTTCCCTTAATGTCCACGCCGTCGCGGCAGCGCGTGGCTGCGTTGTACAGTGCCCACGACCGCGACAAACCGTCGTCCATGGTGGCGTTCTTCAGCTTGCGCAACGAGTCCATCGGGTTGACTGTGGCTGCGTTCACCAACAGCAGCGAGAGCCACGTGTTGTTGCTGTTCTTCATGGTGACAATACTTTCCTTTGACAAAATGTCATTCCATTCCTGTTCTACGAATTCCGACGTGCGTGCCAATTCGTTGATCGGGGACACCGGGATCATTTGAATGCCGTGAATCGCATACACCTCGTCGAGGAACCACGTGTTATAGTACACCTTGTTGTCGAAGAAGATGCCCGTGACGTGGTTGCGCACGATCTCCGGTGGGTGGACAGTATTGTCCGACTTCAGTAAGAAATACGTACGAATGGCATGTGCGTTCAGACGCAGCATCAGACTTCCGAGGTCCTCCATTGCCTTGTGGCCCGTCACTTTGCCCCACATCGTCATACCGTAGTAAAAGTTTATATCTTCGGACGTGCTTTCCTCGTCCTTGCCATGGTCTAGTAGAGTGACGCCCCGTGAATACGAGTGGCCATGGTACCAGGAGAAGTGGCGAAAACGAGGGAAGTAGGGATCTTCCAGGCTCGGATTTGCAACGTCTCGCAGCATCGTCCAGATAATTCTCTCGAGTTCCGGCATACGAGACCAGTTGGGGTCCAAGTGCTTTATAATCGCCGAAGCCGTCACAAAGTAGCCGAAGTGATAGTGATGGTCGTTGTAGATTCCGCTGCCGAAGTCCATGTACAGCCAACCGTTCTCAAAGATCAAGCTTGAAACAATTCCGCCGTACAGAGTTTCGTAGACAAGCGGTGGCGACAGAGTGTTGTTCAGCATTGGCTCAATCATAGCTTCCAGCTTTTCCAAGCAATAAGTTAGCAATGTCGTGTCAGACCCAACAACGGCCGTATCTGCAGCCATCAGGCATAATGACGCATACTTCTGGTAGTACTTGCCGTTGAAGTACCAACTGTTCGCATTCAAGGACCAGTTTGCCATGATGTCCTTCTGCAATGTCTTGAGCATGCCAGTCTGGAGAACCACCCAAGGAGTTGGCTTTCGAGCAGGATAGAAGTCCACTTCGAAGTCTGCCTCAGGCTCCACGAACGCCCATAACGTTGACACTTGGCCAACCATTTGCCCTCTTGTGGTTGAATGCAGAACGATGGCACCAGGACTTGTCGTCTTCATCGGAGACCCACTCATCGACTCAATCTGGTGCGGCAGTGCGAAGTGCAGCAGGCCTACCGAGTCACATGAACTTCCCTCCACGTCCCAGTGTAGCGAGTATCCCGTGCGCGACTCCATTGAAACACTGCCGCCACGCACCACACACCCCGCGTACTCGTCGTAAACTGTGTCTTCCGCCCCCTCCGGTAGTACAGCTACTCGGATCGTGCCAGAGTATCCCTTGTCCGCCACTAACGACGAACCCGAGGCGTTCACAGAGAACACCACCGACTCCTCCACACGGAGCGACAGGCTCTTGTCACTTGCGTACAGTACCCACGTTTGGCTGTTGTTGAGATGGATGACAAACTTGCCCGGCGCCGAGTTGGCCACATACGTGATGTTGTGCTCGGTATCGATACGTGGTGTAAGTCCGTTGTATTTGGCCGACACGAAGGCCATGCCGCTCAATAGTGCCGAATCAATGCACCCAACGCTACCAGGGGCACAAGTACGGAGCTTGATGCCAATGTCATCCCATGAATACACTTCGTACTTTGGTTTTGTCTCGTTGAACTCTTGGGCGGAGAGCGTAAGGTCGTTGTGAATACTATGAGAGTACCATTTGACGGTATTGTTAATCTCTGATGCCATCTCACGGTATGTGTAGGGATAACACGCTTGCACGCCGTATGGTGCTACCTTTGGCAGAAAAAATGAGTACGGTTGAGCCCACGCAGGAAAGTTTTCTGACTTATTGGTAGCTGTGACGTGGATCAAGTTGCCCCACCACTTGTTAGTCGGAATTGGCTGATTGAGCGCTTCTTTGGCGACGTTGATGATTGGAGCAAGCTTTGCGAGACTGCCATTCCGTTTAAAGAGTTCCTCGGATGGCTCGTCAGTACCAAACGGTGCGAAGTATTCACCGCCCACTGGGCTTTGCTGCGTGCTCGCCGGGGCGTTGGGACTCAGAGTACCAATCAACTTTTCGGTGGCACTCTCCACAGTTCCATCGAGGAAGTTGAAACCTTCGCCAACATCAGGATCATCAACCGTGGCTACCACGCTACGTGCCACCACCGCAATGACTACAAGGACTTGAGCCCAGCCCGAAAGCTTCATCTCGTTCGTCTACCCGTGCACGGGTTTTCAGGAGAGGACTGCGTGTGCGCAGTAAGAGGCTAACGCGCAAATGGCGAGTTTGTTCACGTTAAGAAGATTGGAAAGGCCTAGTTCGCTGTCTCTATCGCCTCATTTTTCGACCCTATGAAAGTCTTAGGTGACTAACAGTAAGTCGTCCAGGCGCATGTACCACACCACAGAGGAATACTCTTAGAGTAAACAGCGTTCAACTTGTCTCTGTCCTGCTGTTTACGTGCGAGATCGGTACAAATCGGATCAAACGGTATGCCTACGATTTACCAAGAGGCCCGGCAAGTGGCACAACAATGTTACTTTTACAGCCTACACTGAACTCGAACACACCAAAGTCTTAACATCATGTCCAAGACGCTACTACGTACTTAAGTAGTACTTCACAAAAAGTTTGCTGGCACACAAAAATGCTTCTCTCACGAATGGGTTTTGGTTTTTCATGATTTCATCGTGGTGTCGTGACGCTGCCCGCTTCAGGCAGGAGTTCAGCCTTTGCAAGTGGAAAGAGCAAATACAGTAGTGAATTCATATGATTGGTTTTCGTGTGGTCATGGCAGCTCAACAAAGCCACGACCGAGACCAAGGCAATGTTCAAACGGCTCTTCGGAAAGGTGTGTTGCGCCAACGATAAATACCAGAGTTCTCACCTTGAGAGAACTTTTGCTACGACCTAGAACATGCTCTTCGCACGATGACTAAGGTTTTGCGTTGGTATCGCCCGGGCATCTCGGTGCGGTCAGTTCTACCCGAAGTATTGAGAGCCATCGCTGGCAGCAGTGTGCATTTTTTTCATCGGAGACAACAACTCCAGCCAAGATCATTAATTGAGAAATTTTCAACTTCTCATTCAAAGTTCAGTGGAATCATTTCGTAGCTACCCTTGTGGCCGTCGTGAAGGAGCGTTCCATTGCACTCTCTGATTCTCACCAAACGTATCAACAGATTCAGCCTCACTATTACACCTTGACAGTCAATTGAGCGGCAGCAGTCGTGTTGACGTGGACATCGTCTCGGCAACGAGTGGCAGCGTTGTAGAGCGCCCACGACCGCGATAGACCGTCATCCATCGTTGCGTTCTTGAGGTTGCGCAACGACTCCATCGGGTTCACCGTTGCTGCGTTTACTAGGAGGAGCGAGAGCCAGGTAATGGTGGTGTTCACCTCGACCACAATCGGCTCCTTTGAAAGGATGTCATTCCATTCCTGCTCCACGAACGTCGAGGTACGGGCCAACTCGTTAATCGGAGACACTGGAATCATCTGGATACCATGAATGGCGTACTTCTCATCCAAAAACCAAGTGTTGTAGTACACTTTGTTGTCGAAGAAGATGCCCGTGACGTGGTTACGGACAATCTCAGGCGGATGAATCGTGTTGTCCGACTTCAGTAAGAAGTATGTGCGAATAGCGTGCGCATCCAGACGAAGCATCAGACTTCCGAGATCTTCCACAGCCTTTTTACCCGTCACGCGGCCCCACAACGTCATACCGTAAAAGAAATTGATATCCTCTGAAGTACTCTCCTCATCCTTGCCATTATCGATCGATGTCACACCGTGAGAGTATGAGTGACCCAAGTACCATGAAAAATGACGGAAACGAGGGAAGTACTTATCTTCCGCGCTTGGGTTTACCACGTCACGAAGCATCGTCCAGATAATCCGCTCCAGCTCCGGCATGCGAGACCAGTTTGGGTCCAGGTGCTTCAGCATAGCCGACGCCGTGATGAAGTAGCCGTAGTGGTAGTGGTGGTCATTGTACATACCGTTGCCGAACTCGGTGTAGATACTGCCCGTCTTGAAGATCGAGCTCGAGATGATTCCACGATACAGCGTGTCGTACATGAGCGGCGGCGACAGTGAGTTGTTGAGTACCGGCTCAATCATCTTCTCCAGTTTTTCCAGACAGTACGACAGGAGTAGCGTGTCTGGACCCACCACCGAGCTGTCCGCCGCCATCAGACACAGCGACGCATACTTCTGGAAGTATTTACCGTTGTAGTACCAGCTATCGGCGTCCCAGTCGGACCAGTTGCCCATGATATCCTTTTGTAGCGTACGCAGCATGTCCGTCTCCAGAACAATCCACGGTGACGGCTTGCGAGCAGGGTAGAAGTCCACCTCGAAGTCAGCTTCGGGCTCCACGAACGACCACGTCGGATTCGTCGTCACTTGACCTACCATAAGACCACGCGTAGCCGAGCGCATCATTATCGCCCCAGGACTCGTCGTTTTGGTAGGAGACCCAGTCATCGACTCGATCTGGTGCGGCAGTGCGAAGTGCAACAGGCCCACCGACTCACACGAACTGCCCTCCACGTCCCAATGCAACGTGTAACCCGTGCGCGATTCCATCGACACACTACCACCGAGTACCATACACGCCGCGTATTCATCGTAAACGGTATCATCAGTCGCGTCTTCTGGCAGCAGGGCCACTCGAATTGTGCCAGAGTACCCCTTGTCCGCTACCAACGACGAACCAGAAGCGTTCACAGAGAACACCACCGACTCCTCCACACGGAGTGAAAGGCTCTTGTCACTGGCGTACAGTACCCACGTTTGGCTGTTGTTCAGGTGGATAACAAACTTGCCCGGCGCCGAGTCGTCCACGTACGTGATGTTGTGCTCGGTATCAATACGAGGCGTGAGTCCGTCATATTTAGCCGACACGAAGGCCATGCCACTGACCAGCGCTGAATCCATGCATTTACCAGTAGTCTCGTCACACGTACGCAGCTTAGCACCTCCTTCGTCCCATTCGTAGACCTCATACGTCGGCTCGTATGAAAAGAATTCCTCCGACGACAGCGTCAGGTCGTTGTGGTACGAGTGGTTGTAGTACTTGACAGTACCGTTGACCTCCGACCCAATCTCCCGGTACGTGTACGAGTAGCAGGTCTGCAGTCCGTACGGTGCCTCACGCGGCAGCTTCACCGCGTACGGGTTGGACCAGGCGGCGTAGTTGGACACGTTTTTGAGATCCGTGACGTGAATGAGATTGCCCCACCAGTCGTTGGTAGGAATGGGCTGATTGAGCGCTTCCTCAGCAACGTTGATGATCGGCACGATTTTCTCAAGGCTACCATTGCGTTCGAAGAGTTCCTCGGATGGCCCGTCGGTGCCGAACGGTGCGAAGAACCCGCCACTGGTCGAGCCTTGTTGAGAAGTGGTAGTTTCAGCTGGAGCGTTGGGGGCAAGCGTTCCGATCAACTTCTCGGTGGCACCGCCGACAGTGTCTTGCAGGAAATTGTAGCCTTCACCGACGTCGGGGTCAGCGTTCGATGCTGCAACACGTCGAGCTGCTACTGTTACTACAGCAGCTTGTAATAGAGCGAGTACTTTCATCGTTTCCGAGCTTTGCTCTCGTTGTCAGTGACAGAAATGACAGATGCTGGAGAGGGACTGTGCAACAGAGTGCGCAGTAGGCGGCGAGCGCGAAAGTGGACTGCGATCGAGATTGGTGCCAGCTGAGTTCCCGTCCATTCCGTCGGGTGGACCCGGCCATCATGGCCGCCATGGTAGAGGCACACGGCTCATGCCTATTACGGCCCGTAAGTTACGGGGACCCTGCGCCACGCTTTGCACAACCAGAGGGTCAAGGAACGAGTTTGGGGCTGGGAGGTTTGTTGCGAGCGTGCGAACTTTGAATTGCGCTATTACAACAGAAGACCCTCTCGGGAGTGAAAATGTAGCTAGCTTATTGTTATAGAGAGGAATCACTCTCACTCGCTGAGGGTCGGTGACAAAATTACAAGCGATGATTTTCGCAAGAATTATATTAGATGAGAGCGGTTGGTTCCCAGTGAATCACTCACTAGGAATGATGATCCGGATAGTAGCAATATATCAATGAACGACAAAACTTGTCGCCAGTGCTGTTGGAATGACACATCTGGACAGGACGGAAAATAATTCCAATTGTAAAGTGCCTTTAAATAAATAACAAGAACACTCGTATTAATACATGTTCATTCGTGCACCTCGTTTTCACGCCTTCGGACCTTGAACTAGAGGGAATTTGAGCTGGTAGTGCTGAGTAAAAGCACTATATGATCTAGTATATCGTATGCGACTTACACCGAAACCATTTTTTATAGCATAATATGTTTGCCAAACCAGTAATGTGCAACATCCACGTTCCCGGAAAAGTTACAGTACTCATCGAATTCTTTTCTCCATTTCTCGCCGATATTTCCAACCAAGTCGTATTTTGAAAGATGGAGAATCTTGGTCTGCAACCTGCCATCAGTCTTGTTCTATGCTGAGTGTTGGCTCAGTACGGCTTTTTTGGTAACCGCAGTAGCCACTCCACCCTTCAAGGGAACCCTCAGCTGCCGCGGCTCCGAACTGGCCGGACTCAAATTAGCTACCTCTTACCAACCAGCAGTATGAACAGGAGCATGACCGATTGAGCGCGGTATGCACCTGCAATACTACGTGCCAGTCGGAGGACAGCGACGCGAGATGACATATCCAAAGATATGCACGGACGTTAACGCTTCGAGTTAGTGTAGCTTTACGTTAATAGTCGTTTTACTGCCTAGTACGTAAATCAATAGTATATAGTATAAGAGTATGAAAGCGGGATCGTATCGGATCAATTAATGTTTAAAAAAACGACAACTACAATAACAACAACGCTGCATACAAACGCATCAGATAGACAGAACCCAGAATTTTATTTTCTTTCTAAGTCAGTTCGATCGTGTGTATGGTTTTCCCTCCGCATCTCGATACCTCGTAAAATCCATGCAAATGGATTCACTTGATATTTCTATTGTATGGCACTGTGTGTACAACACAGCACACGGACATGAATTAATCCCAGTTGGGCTGTATGCTTATTAATACTTCGTATAAATGTCTATAAAGTGTTGGAAGTATGTTGCCGAGATCCTGTTAGACATCCAGATATTTAGGTACACATGTAAAAATAAAACTCTAATAATAATAAATGGAGTAATAATAAAAAGATGTGAAAGAGATTCTAGTAAGTAATATGATGCTTATAGAGAGGTTCATCTGTACATCTCTTACTGTGCTCACTGAGCACTGCTCAGTTCACATTAGATGATGGTGTTCGATGATTTGCTGGTGTCGATTTGTATACCTTTCCACACGCAACGCCTTTGCTTTACCCTTTCAAGTACAAAGTCCAATACATGTAATATTTATAAAGTAGCTTTTTATAAATAAAATATATTAATAAATATTATTGGATCGATTCCGGAAGCGTTTGATCCCTAAACTGTCCATTTCCCTAAAATTGATTTGACTTGAAATTTGCAGGAGGGATACCCTCTATCTTATTTAAAGATGAAAGGATAGATGTGAGATCCTAAGTTACGCAATCGCGCCATTACAAGTAAGTGAATATTTTTACTAACCCCCCCCCCCCCCCCACCTACATGTAACGATTTACGTTTGTCGTAATACGTAGATGGCGACGGAGTGCCCACAGCCGCTCAATCTGACGAAAGCCAAATGTTTACGACCACGAGCATGTAAACTGTCTTCAATTTCAAGTTGTGATAGTGTTTGATCGAGCCTGCGTATGGCCTAATAGAGTAGAATGGTACGTATTATTTGCTCTATTTCTACGATGCTTGAATACGGGACACCTTAGCTTTGGTGACGTATTGTCGCGATGAAGCCTTCATCGGGTAAAAGCTTTGATCTGCAGATCGACGAAAACAGACACTGAAAAAGCAAGTGCAGAAAACAACTTACGGGGTAGAACGAGGTATCGTTAAAAGCAATTAAAGCTGTCCAGAACGTTGAGAGTAGGTCCACAAATCGAATACGTCTCGTGCTGCCAAATAGTCACGAGTTAAAAAAAAAGATTTTGAGTTATTGCTACAGATAGACTATGACGTTTTACTAGCGGAAATCATATTATCATGATGACAAGCTCTCTGAACAATCCAAGCCAGTGCAATATCACGTCGTAATCTTGCAAGATATTTTAAAAAAATTATTAAATGAAACTAATATCAACCGTAAAAAATACAAAGCAAAAAGGTCGAGGTGAACTTACTGTTAGGCCAATCGGAATAATTGGTCAAACTGGTGGTCACACATGCTGGAGGTTGCAACCCGGTAGAAAAAAAGTGTACTGGATAGTGCAACGGGTCCGTTCGCTGGGATGCTCGTCGCTGGGCCAGCCTCCGCAAATACCGAGCGGCCCTACTTCACGGGCACCCCGCTCGGGTTTGCTACGGCCACGTTTTCCACACCCGCTCACTACCACCTGTTTTTTTTAGCTTGACCCAAGCAGTACCATTAATAGTACTAGGTTTAACCCCTCTAGCCCCGTATTCGCCATTTTGCCCTTTACAAATAATAAAACACTCCATACAAACTTCAAGTGAGGTTACAAAATAAAATGTTTCACAGTGATGTAGCTAACCTCAGGCCAATAATTCGTGGCCAGAAATTTCCCGAGATTTAGAGCGCGCGCCAAATTTCGCGCCATTCTTGATTTAGACGATGGAGAAATAGCGCCACGCAGAAGCGAAGAATTCGGCCAATTACGTGGAGGCAACTGTGGACCAGACTCAAGAAGCTAAGGTGGCAATTTGAGCGCCCAAAGGGACTCGCGACCGACAATCGCTACTTTACACCTGATGGATGGAAGAAATGACCTAACGGAACACATTTTGTCGACTTTTTTTGAAGGAGCTGACGAAGTATGGCAACACGTACCAGTCAAGGGTACAAATCGTCGCATTTTTTATTGTTCTATTGTTACTAACTCCTATCACAGTTCTCTATGACATGCCACCTGCCAAACGACACGCCTCCGCTTCCACTGTGAGCTCCCCTCTATCGAATCCGCCGGGTGTCGCCGAGCCGCCAGCCAACCCTCCTGTGATTGCGCCGGCCAAGTCGCCTGCCAAGTCACCAACCAAGACGTCTGTCCAGTCACCAACCAAGACACCGGCCAAGGCGCCGGCCAAGTTGCCCACACAAGCTGCTGCTAAGGCCCAGACGCCAAGAAATAAACGTGCGAGTAAAGAGGTTGCTGCGTTTCCTGTACCGTCACTACGTCCTGTGCGTTCGTGTACTGTACGTGCAGAAGAAGTGGACATATCTGTTGGTGATGACCGTCTAAACCCTGGCGACGAGGACGACTTTCAAGTCGATGAAGGCGATGAGTCTGATGTTGAAGGTACAAGTGAAAGCTCAGCCTGTGGTGTAGTGATTTCCAAGTAATCGCTGAAGTGGCTACATTCAAGTTGCTCAAGCTACGAACTCTCGGTCATGCGACAGGTGGTGACCACGGCGCAAGACGGACAAGGATGCATCGCTACCGAACGTTCGTCGGGCCCGACTATGACCAAGATGTCACTCAAGTCGGGTGGTTCGTATCGGTGAAGCTGGATTCACATTCAGCGGTCAAGAACCGACGGACTACGGTACTACG